CTACATGTGGCTGCTTGTATGGGGGAAAGATATATACTGTGGGGCAAATAGTTATAGCAAGCATATGAAGTGGGATTTATGATATGTTTTTGGTTGGGATAGATATGAAGCTTTAGGCAGAAGGTTAGAGTAATAGCATGAAGTGAGATTCATACAATTGGGACTAATGTGGGACACGAATTTTTGAGACACCCAGAACATAGCCTTCATAGAATCATTATTGTTGGAGAACGGGTCTAAAGATTTGTATTGTCATTTCTTTACGTACGTGGATGGTATTCAAAATTGCAAAGTTCCCATTTGTATCGAACTAACTAACAACAAAATTTCTCATTTCAGGAAGCCACACCAAGCTTATAATTGTACGCAAAATTTACTAACGTGTGCCAATACATAAGCTACATTAACGAGGTACTAATCTAATACATAACTTTCGAAATGTCAAATATAACGCTAGCCGTCATCTGTGATGCACGTAGCCCACTTTTGCCGATAGGGTTGGTAACGTGTCATACATAAAACTGCCAAGAATATGCATATACCGCCAACTCATATAGAGCCAACCCGATTATGCATATACTGCCAAGAATATGCATATACCGCCAACTCATATAGAGCCAACCCATTTATACATATGCTACCAAGTCATATGCATATATAGCCAACTCAATATACAAATATAGTCGGTAGTTGGCGCTATATGGATATTTTTGGCTGTATATGTATATCACGTTACCAACCCCACTCTTTTCTGCGGTTGTCTAACATCTAAAACGAAACAAAAAACGAGAACGAGTTGTTGATTATCTCGTCATCCCAGAATTACATCCCCGAATGCCACCACTAGATATAGCCTTCAATGAGTAATAATTTTTACTTTTTATAACTAGTTTTTGTGTTGTGTTTTGTCAGTCATTTTTATATAACTACCAACCAACTTATAGGGGAAACTACTTTCTATCCGTAGTTGATTTAGAACTGAAGCGATGTCTCATATAATCGTGAAATTTTCCCGCAAATATGGATGGAAGTTGAGAATTGAATTTGAAACAACTGACGCCGAGGCTTCCTCGTTGATGCAAAGCATCGGATTGGATCAATTTAAACCATCTAAAGAAGAGTGTGTAAGTTATTCATATTACATTCTGGGCCTAGGGTTCACCTCAAACATAATGTAATAAATTGGGGAGGCAACAGAATGATACAGAATTTTTTTTTTCACATTCAAAAGGGATTTCGACCATCATCCCTAGCTAGGAGCCCCTGTCACAAATGAATGTCAGCAAAACTTCAGTTAGTTATTGAAATCGACTTGAGACTCGAGGGGCTACCCAACACTGGCAGTTTACACCGAACTAGAAAGATTCCGGCAATTCCAAGATATAGTATCTCCATATAAATCCAGCATTGATTTGTTACGGTTGCATGGACTTGATGGAGGAAGTCATAACCCACCAGGGGTTACTTAAACCAGACTACGACGGCGGCGGGTTTAGCAATCCTCTCGCCATTGAGTCTCCCCCGCGGGATTCGAACCCGCGCATGGTAATCAGAGGTCCGTATTCCTAATGCTCAGTACGATACGCCAAGCGCCGAGTAAAATAACAATAACAAAGTATTCAGATGAATAAAATGTAAACACACTGACACAGATTTGCGATAATGTAACGTTGAATTTTTTTTAAATATATACGATGCTCATTCATGCCGTTTGCCCAACAAGGCCTTACATACCAAGGATAACAGATTTCTAAAAACTTAATTTTCGACCTTACAAATTTAATTAAATATTGAACCTTGGGTGTCACTGCTTGATGACTAGTTTTGGTTTCCCACAGTTTCCCTTCCTCAGTAAAAACGTGTGTTGAATTTTATTTATTTTTTCCTCAATTTCGTATGTTATTTTTTACTGGTTGGAAAATAATCAAACAGCCACTCATATCTAACGATATACAAGGAACTACCGTGTTTCCCCGAAAATAAGACTGGGTCATATTTCAATTTTCTTCCAACACTAGGGCTTATTTTCCGTGGATGTCCTATATTTTAATTTATCGAAAACAAAATTATAAAGTAGAGAAATACGAGATTATCAAACATACAAAATATGGAAAGCTATACCCATGACACGTTTTTAGTCAAAATAACTGTGAAACATAGATTATCAATCATTTAAAATGTGTAGAAGATATTTCTTGTTATCGAATGAGTCAAAAAATAATAATTCGCGCTATTGGCTAGGTCTCATTTTAAGGGGAGGGCTTATTTTAAAATCATTTTTAAAATTCAGGCTAGGTCTTATTTTTGGGGAAACACATTACTTTTGTTTGGAAGGACCAGACCAGGCATTACCTACCAAATTTATAACACGCTATCTGTCGTTGGGGCATGGGATTTGAATCTGAGATCTGTAACCTGCGATGTTAACGCAGTTAATTCTAATTCTCTAAGTGCTTGATCGATTAATATCTGACTTTATTTCAGTATCAATCCACATAGTACAAGTTCTCGAATTTATCTGCCCCATTATTTCTGAACAAACTTCACAATGGAGGGTACAGAGTTGTGGCCGCATTGACTGGCCCGAAGGAATCCGAAACTTGGACAATGGTTAAAATGTGATCGTAATCTGCAAATTTCGATTAAAAGAAATTATTTGAATGAAGAATAGATTTGCAGAATTTGTTTATGATGGCTTGCGTGTGTTGATTCTGGCGAGGCGGTGGGCTGTGTACGGCAGAAGATTGTGCAAAGGCTGAAGTTGTTTTGCGGCAAACATTTGGCGCTCTGAACTGCTTCAATCGAAAAAGACGCGGTGTTTTGGACCATGTTTGGGACAGACCGGCCATTGGCAACGACAACCTGTGCTCGTTACTCTTGTTAATTGCTATACTTCACAGTTCACAGTCACAAGGTGTTACTGTTCATCGTCGAACATCGGTTTCGTGCTGCCGCGTAACTGTAGAGAAGAACAACAACAGAACCAACAGAAATGAAAATGACCCCAAAACATCGGAATCCAACCGAAACAACCACAGCCGCAAACCCCAGTCCAGCCAACATGACACCAAAAGACAGACCGACAGCGCTCGGGTTGTCACATTAGCATGTTTTAATTGTCGCTTGGCTCTTAGGACAAAATTTACGGTGTTATTTTTTTGTTTTTAGCGTGTATGATATGGTTTCAATCTGTAAGAGCATACCGCCGCGCCAATTTTAATTTTAGATGTTTTATAAACTTAGAAACAGTAAATCAGAGATAAGACGGTCAGTTAGCACAAGAGACAACAATGACCAAGTTGATGAACCGTCTTCAAGTTTTCTCTTATCCTCCATTGACAGTCAGTCCCGTGAAAAATAAATTAAAATGAACCACAAATTAAAAACGAGATAACAGGGGATATTCACACATTCAATAGTTAAGCGCACACGATAGTCCCAGATGAAGCCTTCTATTCAAGCATGAATACACCTGCTTTGAAACAACGCAGTATGTTTAATGTAAATTTTTCGGGATAATTAGCCTTCGTCGTGGGCTGCCAAGCCGCGATCTGCCAAGATTCTGATCCACCCGATCATCAACAGTAGCGGTGGCATAGGGATATGATCCAACATCCGGACAAGTATGAAAGTGGGTTCGAACTCCACATGGTAGACTGAGTTGTAGGAATGGAGAAGCAGACAAGGACAGGCGTTCGAGGGAAGAACGATAGCCGACGAGCAAGCGAGAGCAGCAGCCAAGAAGAGTAGAAATGGAAAGAACGAAAGCAAATAGGAGCCAGACCAGTCGCTAGCCGCCAAGGAAATATAAGCCGACGATGCAGCAGCAGGCCATGCAAGTAAGCAGGAAAGCAAGAAGCCCCGTGCAGTCCGATGAGATTAGTTTGTAAAAACGGGGCGATAATGAAAATTAGCGGCGATCACGGCGGAGTGATAAAAGAGATCAGGTTTGACATTGCAAATAAGGAATAATAGAAATCAGAATTTTCTTTTTCGTATTTATTGTAAAACATATCTTTTTAGTGGTTGGAAAAATAAACTTGACTTGACAGCGAGGCTGGCTGGAGCGGCAATCACGCATCAAAAAAATAAATAAACAAATAAGATGACGAGGAGAAAATTGTCCAAGTGAAATGAATTAAAAAGCAGCAAGCAATCCGCAAGGATATAAGCAAATAGAGGATGGGAGTGAATATGGAAAGCAGCGAGGCTCAGGGAAGAAATAAAGGCGGAAAGTAAGTAGTAAAATGCCAAGCCACAAGCAGTAAGAGGGGAAATAAATGAAAAAAAACAGCTAAATAAAATGAAAAAAGTTACCAAGCAATTCAGGCGGAATAAATGAAAAATGCAGCAATCCGCTAGTGTCACAATAAAATAAATAAAGGAATTAAGTAAAAATGGAAATCAGTCAGGCCCAAGGAAGAGACAAACAAGATAAATTAAGATGAGAATAGTAAAATCAGCGATTGCCTTTGTCGTCCGTCCATCATGGAATAAAATAAAATAGAAAAATCATCCAGGATAGCTGGAGCAGAAAGCCCATTAGTAGTGGAAATAAAAACCATCGAGTTTAGGCCGACCAGTCCGTCCGATAGTCAAATATAAAACAGTGGATAGACGATGAGGGTTAGTTCATTTCATAGCTTACATTATTAAGGCTTATCACAAATTTAACAAGACGATGCAATACACGATTGCTGTCCAATAAAATCGTTTTTATTTTGCGTTCGAATTCTGATTTTAGAGTTGTTGGCTATTCTGAATACTCTGTGTACACCTTTTTATTCGTGTTCATAACAGCTTACTTCTTAGTTACTGGATTTGATACAGGAAACTACAAAATTCTGTACATCATTAATTTGCACTTCCTAACTTGAAATTAGCCGTTTTGTCGGCTTTTATTTCCTTTGTTAGGAATAAACATGAAAGAAATACACTACTGATTGCGCTGGGCCACAAGCTTCGATAGTCCATTGAATCTTTAGCGTCGCCGGGTGGGACAGAATGCCTGAGGGTGATATCAACAATAACACGTCAGTACGTGGCTAAGCAAAATTGGTTAACGTTATTTCTCTTATTACGATAGCCTACTTGCCTAATTTTGTAATTCGAACTGTCATCTTATCTCTAGGAGATATATTTTAGATGTCTACTACAGAAGAGGTAACTGGCAATATTTCTTTGTCCACCAAGTAAGTCAGATTTGGTTTCTATGTCTTGGCTTGACCTTTACCCGTAGTTCTTGTTTAACGTTGATTCTGCAATTTTTAATGTCGGAATTGGATGCAAGTTCATCTAATACCAGAATATGGTACTGTAATGCAGTAGTACCGTATGAATACAAATTACAGTAATTTATAGAATATAGGCAACCGTAGCCTATATGAAAAATTTGTGGTAATATGGGCTAGTTTTTGTGTTAGCTCGAGACAAAAAAAAATGATATGACTGGAGACTTGAAACATACATGCATGTGATTAGCACACAGATCAGCAGATACTGTAGCCTTCCAGTACCATAACCAGCCATTACTACAGTAAGAAAATACGTACGTATCATTGCATGAAAAGTAAGAGAATAAAAAAATAAACTAATATTAATTCGCCAATCCAGCAAACGGCCAATAGATTCATCTTAAACATACTTTGAATTTTTACAATTCAATGACGAAAAAATTTAATATGCATATTTGTTTTTCAGAATGATTTCGCTCAATAGTCCAGCCGCCAAAGAATGGCTCAACCATCGTCGACAATCTGTGAGGCCATGGAGTGATTTTGTCAATACAAAAAATTTCAACACACCGAAAGGAGTAAAAGGCTGGTCAGCTCGTGCTGTGAAAAATGTTGAACACTATCAAACCAATTATTTGTTCGTATTCATCGGACTGATAATTTATTGCATGTGAGACGTTTTCTTCTTTCCCGTATATTTATTTATTTTAAGCATAAATCCAAAACTTATACTAAGGATTGTTGCTAATCAGATGTCGGCACGGATCATGCTCCATGTCCAAGTATAAGCTCCAAATTTTTCCAATAATACAAGTTTGCCTTAATTTTTAGAGTCACTTCACCACTTATGCTGATTGCAATTGCTGTTTTCCTTGGCGCCTGCTATCTTATTCATATTAAGAACGAACAGCAGAAAATAAAGTTTTTGGTGAGTTTTAAACCTTAATAACCCTAGAATACATCTCTATTCTCTCATATCTTGAATGTTTGTAAATATAACATAATTGACTGAAAATCATTTCATTATATATAACTATCATGAGAAATTGCCAATTTGAAATTCATTATGTACTTGTTAAATTGTTGCATTTCGGGAAAAATTCACAGTGCTCAATAAAGAGTTATCCACGATTAAATGAATATTTCATACATGGAACAGCTAGTGTGAATATAGCCGTTAATTATAAAACCATATTGCGCCATCTACTGAAATAAACAGGTATATTTTTAATAGGAGTCCAATTTGTGTAGTCCAATTGTTTGAAGAAATTTACAAATAACATTGAACACATTTCATAAATATAAAACGGATATTATTCATTGTTATAGGACATGAATTATCATATGCACACCAATACGGAATTGCTGCTGCTTTGTCATTTCCTTTGTTTTTTATTGCTGGAGCTGGATCAGCTGTATTTTGGGTTCTTGGTGAGTTGGTTTGTATTAATTAATATTACTAGGATTGTGAATAATTGTGTTATTCAAAGAGGTTTGAGGCACGACATGAACAAATATAACAACTATCATGACCTATCTAGAATCTCAAGTCTTTTTGTATTAAACTATAAAAGGTCTTATATATCTCAGTCATATCTATGTAATAAAATTATTATCTATAAAATTTGTCATAATGCATAATATGTATTAACGCATCTATCAACAAATTTCAGTAAATAGAGTTCATATAAACCACCTTAGCCTTGGACGAATAAGGGCAATCTCGTAGTGTGTGTACCAGGTTAGGGTTAGAGCATAATTTTATTACGATTTTCCCTATTTTAGTTTTATTACGAGTTTGGGGACTGTCTGTGTTAGCCATGTTAATATACCCCCTGCCCATCAACTTCCGTCCCTTTACGCAACTTGATGTGAAGTGGGCGAACAAAATTAGTTACCTCCATATTGGTACACATGCTTCTGGAGCGCCCAAATAAGTTTTAGCCATGCTATAGAAATTTTGAATAATATACATTTTCCCATGAATTCGGACCCTCTGAAGTGATAACTGATTTTTCATTTTAATTTCTCAGGGGTTTCATTTTTTCTTGTCGCACTTCATGCCTCTTTTCATATTTCACCGGAAGAAGCTGCAAAGCCAGAAGAACCTTTTATGGAAACTGTGTAAAATGATCTGTGAAATTTACCATGCTTTTAATGTTATTTAAAACTTTTGAGATAAATTAGTTTTATTTATCTCTGTATTATTTATAAATTCGTTAGTTCATTTCACATCAGGAAAAATCTGTGTTACACAAAATGTATTTGAGCCTTATGAAGCATTTTTTACAGTGGCTTTTGTCATTGATTGTATTCCTATAGAAATTTACTGATACCAGTTTCTGACCATGTGTTCTTATTTGTGATAACTTTATTTATTGAATGCTGTCGGATTGCATTTCTTCTGTGTAGCCAGGTTAAACTACAAACTTGGGAGCTGTTAAAAATGAATTCTAGCTCCAGGTTGAAGAAAGTTTGGCTTTTGACCTCTAAAATTGGTGGCGTAACCTTCTTTAATTATCTGCCAAATGCTTGGTCTCATGATGTTTTTTTCTGTGAGGAATTTTGACGTGCTCACCAGCTCACATTCCATATCTGAAATTGCAGTCTCCATGAATTTGGAGTTTTTAGAGTTGGAGTTTAGCTCAGGAGGGTTTGAAATAGGACTCTGTTTTTGTCGTATTAATAAAAAGATGCCAAATACGACTCCTCTGCCCTGAAATCTACAAAACTAAAGTAAATAGCGTTCAAATTTCATTGAATATTGGAGCCCAATCTTGCTTGTACCTTTCTCCCATGAAGATGAAATAGAAGTAAATCGTGCAATCGGGTGCAAATCAAATGACTACTAGTGTAATATTTTCATATGGTGAGCAATAGAATATCGTTGGGGTGACGTTTTAAATATTTCATTGTAAATTATCATTTGACGGGACGGAATAAATGGTGCTTTATGTATTTACCGGACTGTTGCTAATACAAGGTAATCGCGGGGAGGTGTTACATATAGGCATGGAACAGCACATTGTGGATTGAATAAATGTTGCTTTACCTGCTGCGGATCTGGAGTCCTCAGGGAAGTGGGTACATATATGCATGGGACAGCATGACAAATGCTTGGCTTTATGATGTAAATGGGTTGAGGCCACTCATTAGAAACACATTCAGTAATATAACACTGAATGTAGTTATTCGAGCGCACACATATATAGTGTTAAAGAAAGCCTTGGTCAACTTACATCTAGGAGGCTCAGGATATCTGGTTGAAAAATTTGTTCACAGGACTATTAGAAGAAAATGTACAGTTAGGCTTTTATTAATATTTCTGGCTGATAATTGAATTCCAACTATACTCAACACATTTGTCAAAATTATAATCTAGAGCTGATATAATATTGTTTGTAGAGGTAAATATCTCAGGGGAGTCATTGGAAGTAATAAAAACGCGAAACTTTTTGGGCCGTGAACCCCAAGTTTCGACCTGTATTTTGTCATCATATTGGTAAAAGCTGGAAATGCTGCCTCACATGTATTTCGTTGCAATAGGTAATAAAATTTTAATTCCTTTTTCTGACAGCAATGTATACCGCTATTCGTCCTCAACACTAAACTGAGAAGATTGTTTTTGATTGAAGTCAATCATTAAAGATCGTTTTCATATTGTTACTGACCTCCAGTGCAATCATCACGAACCCCCAGGGTTCCGTGGACCAAAGTTTGGGAAACCCTGATATAAAAGATATTTGATAACTTCCTGTTGAACTCCTGTTCCAAGCCAAACTATGGTTTGCGATTGGCAACTTTACCCACACATCATTATCCTGTCGCGTTGATATCTTTCCTTAAGATTAACCAACAATAACACTTCCAAGATGTCTTGTTATATCATCCATTTATCTCATGAACTTGGATATTTTATATAATAAAATAATAATATTAAATAGTTTCATGGTAGTTTACAGTGAAATATAATAGGATGTAATTCAATCTGGGCAGTACATAACAAAAAAGAATTCACCATATTTTAAATTTCATAATTCATTCTAGACAGCATAATTTAAATGGATTTATATTTATAATTCTTCCCAATTCTCTAAGGTATTTTAGTATTCTCTTCATTGCAATGATGTTCAAAATTTCAACCAATATGAAATATTATTTTAAATATATTTGATATTTAAGGAATAATTTGGAACAAATTCATTCAAAAAACTATCAATTTGAGCAATTGAAGTCTCAAAGCATTAACAAATAAACTTCCATTTAAGTTTCTAAGTCGAGCAAAAAAGTAAATCAGCCAAGTCACTGTCTAAACTTTCCTGCTTTTCCAAATTCATTGAATATGCATTAACTATTTTTGTTGAACCTGACCCCGATTTCCAGTTTTGTAAATACTATTTTCAAAACTTAATTTTTGTGTGAATTACCCTATATTACTGAAATTATCGTATATAACCATACACAAAGTTCAAGTATTATAAATTATCTTCTCTGATTGATCAGATCAGGTAAACCCAAACAGGATATAATCTCACAACTTGACAATCATTAATCTACCACTACTAGCTTGTTTCAATCAGCTTATTTTCTACAAAATTTGTCAACAATTTGAAAAAAGATGAAAAAAGTACAGCACAGGCACGTGTTCAAACCAATAAATACTTTCAACCAGGGCTGGGCAGTCGGAGTTTTTTTTTTTGAATTTCCGGAGTCAAGTCAAAATTCTGGATTTCCCAAAGTCAGAATTGCACACTATCGATGGTAAGTCCAAGTTCATAAATCATCAATTATAGGAATTCTAACAATCTATTATAAAAGACTTAGGTAAATATGACAAAATCTTCGCTAATAAAATTTGATTTTCTCTTATCTCGGGGCTGAAGTCCACAACCTGTAGTCTAATTTAAAATTTTCCCTAACATTAGGGTACAGAGTCGAAGCCAAGGTTTTCCAGACTGTCGGAGACATTTTTAAATTTTGAACAGTAAGTATTGGCATACACTCTTAAAAAGAAAGAACTGCATAGAGTTTCTAATGATCAGAAACAAGACATCAGTTCAGTAATTTCCATGAGAAACTGTCATGGATTAAGATAATACATAGAATAAGTAAAAAAAGGGTTTTCTTGATTGGTTTCGCGAATATATATACTGCATATAAATTGTGTATTTTAAACAATTTGGCGAAATTGATAAAAATAAACGATAGCTCAAAAATGGAAGAAAAACAAAACAAGCAAAATTAAATTAACTTATCTTTCTTGTTTGAAAAACACTCATCACATACTGTTTATACGGCCTTATTCATAGAACAACTGCAGACCAATATTGCTAAAGTTAGTTGATTTCTTTCTCTTGAAGCAGGAGGATTTTATTTTTCTGAATCTGTCGTCCAATATGACTAGTTCCAGATAATAACCTGCCTAGGACTAGGAGAATTTGAGGTACTCCCATAGTATGTGTACCAGGTTAGGGTTAGGCCATAATTTTATTCCGATTTTCCTTGTTTTAGTTCTATTACAAGGACGGGACTGTCTGTGTTAGCCAAGTGAATATGCCCCCTGGCAGTCCTTTACACAACTTGATGAAAAAAAGGGGAACAAATTTAGATACCTCCATATTGGTACACATACTTTTGGAGCGTCGAATGTGATAATTATATCAATGCTCTATACTACATCTTACAATACCTGATAAGAATTCTAACAAGGCAAGTTTATTATCAATGATTTAACATGGTGTTTGGCTTTTACACGCTCTTTCCTTTGCGTTCATAATCTCTTTCTAGGCACAAATAACATCATCTTTAAATGTTATTACAATGCATATATATTCCGTATGATCAATTGACCATCATTTTCCAATCAAACCTTGGGTTGGGTGCATGAGTGAGAGAGGGATATGGGGGCTCAATTAACTCCCATATAGCAGCTGATGAAATTTCCTCCAATACGACAGAACCACAGTATGGAATCTGGAAGAGTTGACATATTTGTGTGAGTAGAGTATTTTCACATGAAATATGACGATTTAATTTTGTTGAACTGTTATGACTAAGGAAATATTAAAATGAAATTTAGGAGATTTGAATATTTCTATTATTATTTTGGGTCTAGTGAAGGAAACGCAGTAACTGCTTAAACGAGAATATCGGTCGGAGACCGAAGACTTATCGATCGAAAGTTAGGGGATCCCAAAACCGAAACTGCGGTTTCGATTCATCCACTCTTACTCCATAGTGACACTGTGTGTCACATCACTAAATAATTAATACCTCGCTAATTATACGACATAATTCATCCAAAAAACAAATAGGCTTCTGGGCCGAGATATGATGAATGCACATGCAAAATTTGGAGCAGATTCAACCTCGCTTTCGTGATATATCGCGTGCATCTAACAGACAGACAAACAAATACCTATCAACATACTTATCGAGATCGATAAGTACTGAAGCCAAACAAAAATGTGACATGAAATTTTAATGTAATTGAAAAAAAAGTCTGTATGACTCCGATAGAAATCTTGAAATACAAGTTTAGTTTAAATCAAAGCCACTCAATTTTCAACTAAGCAGGTATGTCCCATTCCGTTTAGGGTATTGTGTTCGCACAAGACAGACTTTTATTTTCAAAAAAAGAAATTTGGGTTTGTAATTTCACATCACATTTTTGTTTAACGTTATTTAAGTACTTACAGCATTCACTCTCACACCATATTTGTGTTTAGTGTTATTTAAGCAGTTGTGGCGTTTATTTCACGAGACCCATTATTTTTTTGTAAGGAAATTTGCTCAGTGCAAGGCCCAAATAACTGTATATGGATTGACCACTGTAACAAGTTCATTGAAATTTATTCCAAAACATAAGATAAGATTGGATTTTAGAAAATTATATTGCTCAGCAACTGCCTCACCTTAGTTACAATTCCAACAAAATCAGTCATTGGCCGAGGACTTAAACCCTGCAATTCACGAGATAAACCATCTAATGATCCAGCATGCCCACATATTAATATATCACCTGGTAAAAATGAAAAAATAGTAATAATAATGTGACGAAACTTACACGATTCAGACGTATTAATCTAAGTATAGCACATATTTCCAAAAATTTAATTTTCATCAAATTTTCAGAGAAATGGCTATTCAGATATGTGTACTTCAAAAACAAGATCCAAAATTTACCGATAGTTTTATAAAATGTATGCTTGGGAGTCCTCAACTCGTAGACCAGGAAAGTGAAAATACAGAAATTTCTGGTGACCGTACATTTGAACCCATGCGTATATCCACGGGTTCAATCTATATGCTGGTGCTAAAACCCATGGGTTAGGGTTAGTATGGGTTTAACTATCCGTGAAACAAAAAAAATTCCATAGGTGCAATAGCATACAGGTGCAATTGTTATGGGTTCAAATGTACGTGGGTTCAAATGTAATGGAACCGAAATTTCTATATATTATATTCAAAAAAAAAGAAAAGATGATAAGAATGCTTAATAATAGGGCAAAAAAGGGTCATCAGCTAAACAGACGAAAGTTGTTACCTAGTTTAATTACTTCGAAATTGGGGTTAGACAACAAAGTCAATACAGAAAGAAAATTAATCTATCACTGTTGTTGGATAATTCAATCCAATTTCGAATTTTTATGTTTTAGCTGAAAAATAACCCATGAATTTTGCTGAGATTTCGATTAAATCGGATTTGGCACGAGGCCTATTGTTTTTCAGTTTTGCTTTTGTAACATTACAAATATTGTTCATAAAATGTAACTTTTACAAAAACCTTGCCAAACCCTGATCTATCACCTTAATTAAATCTTACCAGATGTTTCCTTTAGTATACTGCTGATAAGTTTATGACATCGTTTAAAATATTCGTTACATTTTTCATTCTGTTGCATATCTTGCGGAAGATATTTACATTTATAAGCCTGATCGACGTTTATGCCATATTCCAACAATGCAGAGTGATCAAGGAATTTAGGTAATCCACCTGTATAAAAATAAAACATTTTTTATGAGTCATCTTATAACATGGCAGCTACTTGTAGGTGGAGAACCCACAAATTAAATATGAACCATAATCACATTTTACGGTATTTCAGTAGTATGTGTACCAGGTTAGGCCATAACTTTATTCCAATTTTTCCTATTTTAGTTCTATTACAAGTTCAGGACTGTCTGTGTTAGTCAAGTGAATATCCCCCTGTACATAGGTTTCTGTCCCTTTACACAACTTGATGTAAACAAGGGCGAACAAAATTAGTTACCTCCATATTGATACACACACTTCTGGGGCGCCCATTTTACTACATCCTGGGTGAGGTGTGGTCATGGGACTTGAATCCGAGATTTTCAACCGAGGTGCCAATATAGCTAAGTCTAACACTTTAGTAACTATGAACCAGGCCACCACACTCACTTCTCAATGTAAAGAAAGGTTAACTACGCAACAAAATCGATTGTTGTAAACTGCTTGTTTGAGGAAGTCTCACTGACTTACAAACGTTACTGAAAGACATTTGTGTTAGTGTGCAGCAAGACTCTTGAATCACACACAATAAATCAGCGTTTTAAATTTAATTGGATCTATTTTCGGTACTCACAAAGTATGTGAGCCAAGATGGCGAACACCGGCACGTAGTATGTGTACCAGGTTAGAGTTAGGCCATAAATTCAGGTACAAATGCTACTAAAGTCACTTAGCTGGTCCCCAAACTGGTAATAGAACTAGAATAAGGAAAATTGGAAAAAAATTATGGCCTAACCCTATCCTGGTACACATACTAGGTGTCCGCCTTCTTGGTTCACATACATCGGGAGTACCTTTTATTCTCTATTTCACTCTACTAAATTAACATACCAGGGCTCCATCTCATCCATTCAAAAAGTCCAAGTTCAATCCTGAGAGGTAATCGACGTTCTAGTTCCATGCCTGGAAACAAAATCATTTGATATACGGTAAGCAATTTAATGACGAGGATTGACGAATAATTTATCACCGGTACCTCTTGGGTTAGGTGAGGTTTTTAATAAGAGCTGTCAACATTCAGGTTGACCTAAAAAGCAGAACCCGGGTCTTTGGAACATATGAAAGAGTTACGTGTAGGGCTGGGCATTTAAAAACGAATATTTGAATCAAAGTGAATCACCCGATTTAATTTTATTTAAGCCATATTTGTAATATGCAATCCTGACATATGGATCTCTTCGTCCTAGTGAGTTATTGGTAAAACATGTTTTTTATTGTGTGTGAACACTCAGTGAGTGTTGAAATTAATGTCTCCAGTAATTCGTGAGTTGAGAGGACCAATTAAAATAAAAAGTCGGCTACAATTACATATTCTTAGGTAGGTAGTTTTGATTCGAAAATAACAATGACTCACAGCACACGAAAATCAGGTCTCAAATTAAATTGTAAAAGAATTGAGCCAATTTACCTTTTAATATTCCTTTAGCAGTTTCAATACATCTCAATGAAGGACTGACATAAACATTAGAAACAGATGCACCAATCTGCTTCAACGCTTGACCAGTAAGGAAAGCCTGAAATGCAGAAATAAACATTAAGTACAAGTTCCATATATCTCCGAGACTTGAATCATGTTCGTGGATAATGAAACAAATTTTGGGACAATCTAGTAAAATATTATTATTACAGGTTCCAGCAAGAAAGTAGCTGCTATGTTAGGATCGTCTGTTATCTCTCCAGATCGGCAATGGTCATTGTCATGTGTTGTCTAGCCAAACACATAAGGCATATATAAGAGGCTTTATATATTGATTAGAAGCATAACGTTGAACTAAACCATGAGATTTCTAACCTATACAGAGAGCATAATCAACACCAGGCCAAACCAGTCGACAAAATTGTGAGCGTAAAATTATTTTTGAATATGATTCTGAAAAACACATTGGAAAGCAACAAATGCAACCAACCTGATGGAGACCCATTTCAGTTAACGGTGTATCTCTATGAAAATCTTTAGGGCCACCTGGCCTTTTAGGAATTTTTTGAGGCATGTTGATGTTTTTTCGATGATAGTTTCCTAAGCAAAAAAAAAGTAAAAGTCAGATACAAATCATAAATAATTGAGAATGGAAAAAGACTTCTACATTACAATATGGAAATACTGATGAAAAAGTTGAAGCTCTAATTAACAGATTTACCCTGAAATTAGAAAAACAACATGAATGCCATATATGTTGTCAAATTCTATAATTACGGTTTTGACTACAATCTACTAATCTATCTTATTCATGAATGCGTATCAATGAAAAACTCTAACATAAAGTGGTCACTAGATGATCTAAGAGTTTGACAAGTTCCCATACAGTTACTAGTAGAGATTGTTGACAAATCTTTATATAATAATTCAATTACTGATGCTTTCATTTTTAGAGAAGAACTGATTTGAAATGTCCTACAGTTTATTAACACAAACTACTATGAACCTTTTGCCTTATTAAAGGTAATTAAGCACAATTAAAGCATTAAATCACAAGTGGAGGAAACTCATTTCTAATCTATTAAAGGAACAATACCTTTATCATCAAAAGATAACTGAATCCATCCTTTTCCAAAAGTAATATCAACTCTTTCAGCGTGTCGGAATACATAAATCCTTCGAGCCATTTGAATATCTTTCGGAACGATTGAAACTTGGCCTTTAGGTTTTTGAACCTGGATAGAAATATAAAAATTCTAATTCTAGTGGTCGAGAATTTTCATAAAAGGCACTATATTCATATGTTAGCATCTATGATCATATGGGATTAACTGTTATAGCTGGATTGTACATAAATAAACCTCCTTATTTTAAACTGATAGGACAAAGTAGAAAGACAATTATACAACTTCATTATGCAGGAATTTACATTCCCGATTTGGTTTCCAGAAATTAAATTTTCTTGGGAGATGAAAGTCATACTAATCGTATGGTGATTGGTGAACTATGACCTTTCGTTCTATTATTAACAATCCATGTTGGGTATGAAATAATTAACAAGTCACTCATCACATATGCATAACCTTGTAGGCACAGACTAATATAAGTGCTTAATCGCATTTTCGATTCCTTTGCAGAATAAACAGTGCTATGATCGAAAGTGCATTTCGAATGCTCAGTCAAGCATATCAAACTAAAATAGATATTTGAAAGGCAGAACAGAGAAATGCAAATAATATTGTTGAGTGCTCATGTATAAAATATCCACTAAATCAGCGGTTTCCAAGCTTTTCAAACTCATGACACATCGACTTTCTGTAATACATATCACAGCATATTGATATGAAAATTAGACTTTAATGACAATAAATTATAAGGAATATTCAAAATTTCATAATATCGAGTCAGCACAGCACAATCGACCTTACGCTTAGTCAAAAACTCATACTAAGACTTTTGAACATTTAAGCAGCCATATCCTGTGATTATTATGAATTAGTTATTGGTACGTTACAAGGGAGAACTAAAGAAAAGTTGATAAGTAACAACAATGAAACAGATTTTATAATTTTTGGGCCAGTTTTGTACAGCAGATAAGAAATATTTTTTACAGAGATGGATTGGTATTTCGCAATGCACTCGAAATGGTCTTTATTAATGCCCATAAAACGCTCTCATACAGTTTTTGAAACACTGTGCTAAAGTATAAATAAAACACCTGTGTATAGACTTCTTCTCTTGGAGGAAGAGTGGGAGGAGCCTCACCATTTACAGCAGTGACTTGAGCACTGTGATTGGACATTGGGGACCTGGGAGGCAGAACTGGGGATGGTTGGAAATGATTCTCCTTTGACGCAGGGCTTTGGGAGTTTGTGTGGGGTGATAATAACTTCGCTTTTGCATCATTTGTGATGACAGAGGGGGGAATGGGAGGTGGTATCTCAGGAACAGATGGAATTTGCTGTAAAAAGAAATAGATTTATTAAGCCTTATTCAATTCTAGCCCCTGTTCTGTCAAGCTACAGTCAAAATTAACTACCGGTAAATCCTTTGACAACATAACAAGCACAAATTGTGTTAAGTCTTGTGATATTGTTATCGACGTTTATATCAGATCACTTATGACTCAAAATTTAGCAATCCTACCCAATGATAGGTATTAACATGTTAAAAATTTAGATAAGTAGAAAAATGCATAAATATTTTAGCAAAGGTACAAGGGCTCATATTCATAGCTATTTGTCCACTTTAAGTTAAAGATTTTGAAAATTTGATTGGAAAAGTATAAACAAATTTCAAATCAAAACATAGCAGAAAAATTTGAAAAACTTGTAATTCAGATGATGCTCATTTTTTAATACTAGACAAAAATTTGAGAAATTTGACATAGGAAGGTTCATTTACAAATTCACTCACTGTTTGCAGCAGAGATTGTGATGAATTATACCCGGTACTATGAAACTCATCAGCACCTCGAGAATATCTACGTTGTATTGTTCTTGGGTCTGATAATGACTGGTTGTGATGAAGGATGGAAACAACCCTGCATAATGATAAAAATTATATTAAGGGCACTAACAGTCTAACACCCCCAAAATATTCAACAAATGAAAACAGGAAAGATCCACCAGGAAATTAGTCCGATTTTGGACACATTTTGTTTCATATGACAAGGATGTTTCAATTGGAATTTTTATCAAGATAAGCATTTGATATCTCATGTTGCTGTATGAATTCAAAAGCAAACATAACAATCTCTATCTAGATTATAAAATGTAATATATATCAATTTGCAATGGTTTCTGCACATTTTCCTAGTTGAAAATGTCGTTATTTGTAATATATACCATACTCAAATTTATTATTTTAGAATGTATGGAAATGCTAATCTATTCGGTTTTATCTTTTACTCAATAGGACAAACCAGTTTCCCGTTTGTTTCTTAACATAGAAATGCTTGAGCTTTGAAACAATATATACACACCATTGAAACTGTTTTATGAGACATTATAGAATTTATTCAGTGTCAAATAAAACTCTGAATCAAACAAAAACATGTCAAGTAATCATTACTGATAATGGATAATTCATGGAGAACAGGAAACAGGGCAAGAAGCGAAGATAAAAACCAGAGATAGCTGAATATGCATCATCGCCAATGATGGATAATATTTAAAAAGATGAATATATATTTTGTATATTGCATTAAATAGGAATGAATAGTTGTGCTAAGAACAAGAATTGTTTTCCATATGACCAAAATAAAATTTTCTCGCAACAAAAATATTAAAATTCTGAAACAAATATTTCAAACAAAACCAACACATTTAAATTCATTCCAATTCAAATAGTAAAACTACATCATGTTAAATCACCCTGTAGCATTCTGTACAATAAGGTGAAGATATCGAAGCACACACTATTCATTACAATAACCCACACAGTTTTTGTTGAGGACGTAAATGCCAAAATGAAGTATAGGCCTTCATAAAATTTATCAGTTTGAATAACAGGTGTTTCAGAAGATCCTAATTGTCAAAATCAAATTGAAACTTTGTTTGTTTCATGAACAATGGATCTAACATACATCATCAGAGAAGGTTTGGGCTACTGGTGTTTAATAGATCGGTAGACTCAGCTGTGTCAGCATCGCAGTTCAAATCTTATGCATACCAGCTTACCCAGAGTATAGGGACTTGGATGGCAATGCTGTACTAAAATAATTCTAGTCCCATCCGAAAACAGTAGCTTCCATATCGTCAGTATGATACAGTTTGCTAGTAACACTAAGAGCCATATTCAAAGGGAAAGAGGAAAAAAGATTCAACTAAGAACTTGAAAAAAATTGCAGTCTGAAATCTGAATGTGACGAAAATGCTTTATTTATGGGAAAATTTCATTAGGATCATACTTATGCGTTGTCCATGTTTCGGTATCTGTTGTTTTTTCAACGTGTGTTGCCGGAAACATTCCACTGCATCCAGTCATCCATGACGTGCCATAGAAATATCCATCCATACATTTTCTGTTTATTGAAAAAGAATATTCAATTTGGATCAATATATTATAGGTATTTGGGATGTGAAAAATCATATTTCTCCGCAACTAAAATACGAAATACCAATCAAATTTCGTTACCTAAAGTTGCGATTGCGTGATTATCTCCCTTTCTTTTCAAATTTTCTCTGGGTCTCATGAAACTCGAATTTCACCTGAACTTTTGCTGTCTATTTATAACTCACAAGCACCCCTTGATAAAATTTGCCGCAATTCTTTGACATTCATTCGAATTGTTTGAACAGCAGTAGATGTTGCTAGCATGGCTGAAGCCATAATACTAGTCAACCAACACCTCAGTATTCATACATTTGAGCATTTTAAGAACCGCTATGAAGCACAGGCCTACATGACCTACAGATATTAGGAAATAACGAATTCTCTTACTATATTCAGAACCGAAATTCATGGTTAATACCAGTTCTTTCAAACTCAAAAACAAACTCACTTTGAGATCTGTGCATCGGCATTGAGGAAAACACAATCTCCATTTATTAACTGGAGTTGATTTTCAGAGGAAGGTGAAAAAGGATAAAGAACCCGGAGTGTCTGAAAACAAAGTTTTTTTTCTTGTTACAATACAAATAATTCAATGGCCATTGAGTTGAGTGAGAATTATTGAAGTAGCAATTAAATTGAAAGAATGTCATTGTATAAAATTTATCAAACACAAAAATTTGCAGCACACTCAGTGATCGTTTCGTGATTATAATTTTCAATTTTTGAATGTACAAGTTTGCTCAATATAAGGTTAATTAGGAGGTCTCATTGAAATTTAAATGAGTATTGATGGAAGAATAGCAAGCAATCATCAGCATGTATCAAGGTACATAAAAGTTACAAATGCTGACAAAACAAGAATTATTTACTTGTACTTTACAATAATATGTGGGCATGGGCCAGACTGAAAAATTTCAAACATTTGATATTTATGGTTTGCGCATGAAAGCTATAGTTCAAGCTTGCTGTTGCAGATGTCAGCAGGTTGGAATTCCATGTGTAATAATTATGTGCGATTGTTTGCCTTCTCAACATGATATGTTGATTCACATAATAACTAATTGGTATCGACTTCTTTTCCAGGTTCATGTCTATGAAACAAATAACTGGCTAATTATCATCGCACCTAACACGGACAGGTATCTGGGGGAAACGCCGTAGTTTGCTAATGATTAACAAGCTGTCTTATCCATTATCACCATGATAAATATTAATTACACCCAATCCAAAATCCGGTATATTAAAAGCTACATAGAGTATGCATTTACAACAACATATGGATATTGTGAGGTGGATAGAATAGATTGCAGTAGTGCTTGAAACTAGTTACTATCGCATCTACCGTAAATATCTACAGTTATGAAAAGAAAAAACAAGTCTCACCTCACAATTAGGAAACCTTGATTCTTTAGAATATAATCTGAGTTCCCAATGGCTAGGTTTGTTCAAATCAAGTTTCTTTGCAAGAGTTTCAAGTCCTTGAAGTTGGTTTGGAATGAATTTATATGCAAGTGTTAAATGCAATTGTTTGTTACTGTGCGGCTCAACGACTGTATCTGAAAAATATTAATATAAGTATTTTTAATGTTTTTTTTCGGGCTCTACAGTTGGTGTATCATGCTAAGAGTTGGGATTACACTTGCCAAAACCACTAATTACCCTGTAAGAGTTCGCAGGTTTGAATCCTCTCAGAGATAATTGTGTGTGAGAAGATTGCTTCTCACAGCCACGAGGGTGGTTCATGTAACCGCTGTCAGGTTCCGACTTTCTCCCCAATCCAAGTCCATGCATCTCAAATTAATAACTTGGTAACTGGTCCCATACTCGACATGGACTGGTAATCAGACGATAAACCATGGTTCACCATATGATTGAGCAATCTTATCATATTTCCTTGAATGGATAGCTAACTGAATCATCACTATGCATACACAGAAAATTAAGTCATCAGAAAATGAAGAGCTAACTTATCCAACATTAGATATTATAAATGTTTCAATGATTAATAAACAATAACACATCGCAATAGTGATAAGAGCCATCAAGGCAGGTAGTCCACCAAAATCTACTCCAAATGTCCACTACCAAATTGCCTCTATTATTTGTGTTTTGAAAACTGAACCCAATTATGTTAGCGCAGGGGTGGGCTAGGTTTTTGCATCAGGAGCCAAAAGTTTTGCCCACTTAGACTGGTGGGCCATGTAAGTAAGACGGGAAAAGGTACATTTTATGACAGAATCTTATTTACAGTGTTGCAAAAGTGGAAAACAATAAGCCTCGTGCCAAAACTAAATTTGATCGCAATCGCAACAAATTCCTCGAGCTATTTTTTAGCTAAAACATTAAAATCGGGTTTCAGTTTGGTTGTGGCAATTGTCAACCTAAAATATACCCTACACAGACTACGATCACATTCTTACAAGCCTATTGCACCATACAGATTTCAATACCAACAACTATGTAGTGCATGCAGAATTGGTTCAAATCAGAAATTTATGACAGCAGCAGACAGGTCAGATTGAATAACCCAACGGGCCCGAATTTGGTATGCACGCCGTACACAAGGCACCAATGCACTAAAGAGCCATGCTAGTACAATTGTCAAAATATATTTCATATCATATATATGAAATTCAAAACATTTTTAACATGTACATACTGATGACAATAATATTATAATTGGAACGTTAATTCCTTATATGGTTGTCAAAACAGTTTACATTTCTCGTGATAGTATTCATTATCTAGTTTCATTTTAAATAGGAAACACTTGAGTCACTGCAAATATGAACATAGAAAACAACTTTTGCTTTTGAAGCAAGGGCAATCTACAATTTATGCTAAATCAATAAATTTTTTGCGTGTGTCTGTCTAATGATTAAGTAAGCAAGAAAGGTGTAAATCTTTGTATGTATGTATGTTTATTTGCCTCAAAATATACAAAAATGTAACAGTATCTGCATCATAATATAAACAGTATAACAGAGATGGGATACACGTTCAAGATCTTACTGGGTCTTAGACACAGTTGTGTGAAATGTACCCTTATTAACCAGTAGTTGCTGCATTATAGTAGGACAGTAGACATGAAATAATAAAAATATACAAATAAAACTTTAGTACAATACACAAGCCAAACTACGATGATGTACAATAGTCAGTTTATGGCACATTCCTGCCCCAGTGTGTAAGAATGGAACAATTCAAATTTTCCTTCAATTGTGTTGTGATAGCGGCTATTAAGCAAATGTTTTGAATGAATTCAAACTACTGTCTAGAGTAGACAAAAAAGCTACATGCTCAGCAAGTATTCCACGTTTCCACTATACAATTTGCTTGTATTTTTAAACCGAAAAATATACAAATGTATAAAAAATTGTGTATAAGATGCAGGGTTGTCCAAAACGAATCGAATATTCGAAATTATTCGAATATCAAAGTATTCGAATACCTTTTCGGCTCATTTCCGAATAATTACGAATAGTAGTCACTTTTCGCCGTAAACATGGTGTTTCGTTTAACCGGAATCTTCAAACGACTTTTTACGCTTTCTCACGTATTGTAACGACGATGAAATAATCGGCATTTTGATTGTTTATATTCAGCGCGAATGTACGTCGCATAGTGTTGCGACACATTTGCACGTTTGCGTTGGTGGACATTGCCGACATTCGTCTTTTAATTCACAAAATCATTTCCATTAGTCGAAAAATCGACAATCACCGTATTTCCCGGCTAATAAGTCGCTTTTCTAGACCCAATTTTGGCTTAATTTTTTGGGGGGTGGGGCGCCTTATTGAGAAAGTATGTTTATTCTATTTCTATGTGGCCTGCTTATTTTTCGCATTAGTCTTCTCAAGCATAATTTGTGTTAACCTTAAATGTGGTTCTTATGGGTCTGCCAATCATGATATTTAATCGTAGGCCGGTTATCGTTACTTAAGAGAGAAAACACGGCCACCGCCACCTAGATAAAGTAAGTGATTTATGACCCTTTGGTTTTGCCGATTCAGCAGAAAACGACAGGGACATGAAACACAGATGTGAAATAACCCGTAGAAGTACCGTGTGGTACTTATCACATTCCAAAATTATTTCAACATTCGGGTTGATAGGTTTTACAAAATGATTGCCGCTTTATAATTTAAATTTACCGCTTCATTGTTAAGAATATTTAATTCCGTGAGTATGGTTCTACCAAACAAACATGATCTGGTTCTGTTCTGACCCTATAAAATTACTGCTTTATTGATAAAAATATTTAATTCTGTGAGTATGATTCTACTAAACAAACGGGATCTGGTTCTAAACATATGAAATTATTAGCGCATATTAGCATAACTGAACAACAGGGAACAATTTTTCTACCTGTCTTATTGGAGGCCTATATGGAAAACCCCCCTTTTTTGAGTGCTAAAAATATACATCGTCCTATTTGCCATGTAGACTTCTTAGCCGTGAAATACGGTATTTATAGCCGTAATTGTTACGATATCCAATAAATTGTCACAAGTTGGGAAACAAGTTGATTTATTAGAAAAATACTTTCACCCGCTTTCTTGCAAATAATTTTGATAATGATGGTCAAAAGTATCGATAACGAAAGTATTAATACCAAATACCACGGGTATTTGTGGGCATGAAATGTGTGCTAAACTGCCCAATTATATATAATTTCGGATTCGTATTTACAAAATATTGAAACTATTATAACTCAAAAATACAACGGCGATTTGTGGACTTAAATGCGTAATAAAGAATAAATTATTTTTCCGACTTGTGACAATTTTTGCGTGAGTACGAAAATAAGAATCAAAAATTAATTATATTCGGGCACAATATCACGGCATTCTGTGGACATAAATTGTGAGGCAAACTCGCGATTGATATTAATTTTTGATTCCTGTTTTCGTATTTACAAAATACAACGGCGATCTGTGGAATTTGAATGTGGGGTAAACTACCCGATTATAAATAGTTTTTGAACCCTATTTTCGTATTTATAAAATTATAAAAGTATTATTACACAAACATACAACGGCGATCTGCGGACTTAAAATGTGTGGTAAAGTTCCCGAATATAATTACTTTTTGATTCGTATTTTTGTACTTACGAAAAAATTTTCACAAGTCGGATAAATAACTCATACTTCATCCCGCTTTTTGGCAAATAATTTGGATAATGGTTGGTATTTAAAAGTATGGTCGTTTTACTAGGATGATTTTGTGTTGCGCAAGCATTCAAATCCATCACCGATACCACTATTTAAAATGCCTTGTCGTATTAAACACAACTCTTGTTATATAAAATATATATCGCAATAATCTGCAAACATGAAATGCCTGGTAATATAGCCAGGTTGTAGATAGAAGTTATTCCATTGTTTATTGTATGAAAATTCCTTCATACACTAAGATTCTATTACTGGATTTTATTTTCGAAGTATTCGAAATTTCATATTCGAAAATAATAATTTCGAATGTATTCGAAATAGTGAACTATTCGGTATTGGCCATCCCTGATAAGATGCCTGTCTAGCGGTTAGGCACAATGAAACTGAATATGCTGGTGTTGCAGTTTAGGCTATGTTGAACCGAAAAACAGGATTGCTTTTAAATTGATGAGTATTAGCTTAGTGCTTCCATCCTTTCTCAGTTCGTGACCTACTTTTACTGATATTTTTTTTGTGCGACCCACAATGAAATGTTGATATACCAGAAAAGAAATATTGTATGCCCATGCAATCTACTGCAAAACTTGATCTTGTATATTGGATATTATATCAGATCGAGTCTGATCTCAAAAACGGCGCATATTTTTAAATGTTCCATAACTGTTACGGTAACGATAATGCCACAATTTCCCCAATCTAATCGAAAAATGTATGTAATATTTGGGAATACTTCGCGACCCACCTTGACCCACTGGTGTGGAAGCACTTTATTAGCTGATAGTGGTTTCTTGTGTAAAGCCTTGTTCATAGCGAAGGGGCGAAATATTACCCAATTTAAAAAATATAATGATACCAAATTTTGATTTCAGTACAGTTTATAATAACTGTTTCACAAAAATATGTTCAAATTACAATTTTTTGTAAATAAATATGATTTTGGATTCCGCTTTCACTTTTTCGTTATGAGCATTAAGAATGATTCAAACATACACCTCCATTCATGTTGCATAATCATCGGTACAGGAAAGCAATGCAGTGGGAAATAAATATAATATACTGAAGCTAGTCACAACATGAAATGAGTCACACATAAATTCCGAAATCTGATGTAAAAACAGACTATGGGCATACATGTATGGGCCAAAAATGACACATTCTAATCAAAGGCTAGTTTCTCATTTATATTCATTGATTATACTGATTGGGTTTTTAAATAGATTTGCAGGTGTATATAAGGAAATAGATCATATTTGAATCTCAAGGAAAACAAACGCACTGAATTTGAGCTATTTTTTGCTATCAGGCATATTTATAAAAACGAAGCAATAAAGAATGGTTTAATTTTGGCTGAGCATGAACTGATGCTGTCTGCAACTCAACCTCGCTGTCCAGCATCGGTTCGTGCTCGGCAAATCCAATTTTTTTTCTTCTTGGTAGTAAATAACAAGCCATTACAGATGTTTTTCAATGAAAAATTTCTATATTTAGATGCTGTTTCATGATGACTACCAGCCTGTATAATTGATCATGACAATTCAAAGAATGCAATGGCAGCAGAACTCGGTGGCAAATAAGTTGAAATTTTTGTATTACTCATTAAAAACTTTGTGGTTGTGGTTTTTCAGGCAGCCATATAAGAGACATTGGCTGAATAATTGAAATTTCAACCTGACTACATCTATGCCCTATATTCTACAGCAGCGTTCTTAGCGTGGAATTTAGTAATTGACCTAAGTATTTATTGGGTTACGGTAGGTCATCTATTACAAATTGAAAAGAGAGGATATTTAAACTTGAGTTTAAACCAAGGTCAACTTGACAAGCTAAAAATAAATACAAGGGTTGGTTTGGCCACTAGCACTCGTTTATAATAATGCCCCAAAATTTAATTGGAGATTTTATGGGCCGAATATTTCTTTTTTCCGCTAAAATGGGCCACAAGAGAATAAAAGTTGTACAGGGCATATTCGAATAAATTAAATACAGATTGACTTAAAGTTGTGTAAACAGCACCAAAATAGAAATGAAAAATTATTTATATGCAAAACTTTGAGCAATCATATATATATTTGGAATGGTCAGTCCCATAACTCAACTGGAAATATTTTAAAGCAAAATTAATACGATTTGGTTACACTATTTCATATAACATGAGCTAAAGTTTAGATTCTGTGAACAGTGAATCACAAAACGAAACAGCAAAACTACCAAAGATATAAGTTCTCCAAATATGGAATGTCAAAAAGTGACACCTTGTTAAATTATTGGTATTAGGAAATGTCATGCCGTGATTTATTTCAAATGCTGCGAATGCATACGTTACAACTATGACGCAACTTAGTCACATGTTTAATAATAAACTGAAAGTTCTTTTAGTTTATTTTACAGTATTTGGTTTATCAATACTTCATATGAATTGAACAGGCTTATTTTGCGGGAAAGTTAGTCAACAATTTTAACTGTTCATAAGTGTGTCACATCTTCTCCAAATAAGAACACCACAAGAAACATTATTATATGACTAAAAAATTAGGTTTTGGTTCAACACATAGCCTACAAAATTTATTACACTGAGGTGGTAAAAATAAATTTTGAGCATAATTTCAAGTGGTGGACCACATAATAACAATCTATTTTTGAAGAATTACCTCTCCATTTGGTCACATGGAAAATTTAATATAATCAATGAAAACTTGTTAATTTAAAAGAAAAAATATGTACAGCTTCAACAAAAAAAAACTCAGATATCACATGATCAAGTGTAACTTTATTATAAGAGTTAATTTATTGTTAACAATTTGATGGTAATAAAATCAAATATTCTGTCCATTGTGGTATGATTTGTATTACAGAAAGTAAATATGGGTGTCACTAAAAATGTGGTGTCGTAATTGACAATTGTATGAATCTCACATAATATCACAAATCATATAATCAGAAAAGAGAACAGCGGAACAAGTGTGCAAGACAAAAATGGGACTGAAATTTCTGAGACATGGAAAGTAAGTGCATAAAGAATTAAAAAGTTTCTAATCCTCTATGCTACCTACTAAACCATACATAAAGAATAAACAAAAGAAAATCACCAAGCACCTTACCACATACACTTTAACATTCTGCCAATGTAATATATCTATCCCAACCCAGAACATACCATGAATCCCACTTTTAAATAGATATCTACCTCAACTCATAAAAGTGGAACAACAGTAGAAAAGTTTAACAAGTGTGGCAAAAAAGCACAAAAGTGGAACAAGTGGGACAAAACATTTTTGAGACATGAAAGAAAGTAAATACATAATGAAAGAGAATAGCAAACTTCATACCTGCGGCAGAAGCAGCTTTATTAGCAAATTCCTGAGAAAATTTTCGAAGAAAGTCGGCGGCAGCTTCTTCAAGAAAAAGTCCAACGTAATTTGACGATGAAAAATAATCGAGTCCAACTTTAGAAAATTTCAAATCTTTTGTTGATTGTTTCGCAACCTCTTCTAGGGCTTGGAGAAGTTTGTGAACATTTTCATCTTTACACTGAAGTGGATGGATATTAAAATAAGAATTGAAATAAAAACAAAACAGGTGTCACTGCCCTGTATTAATTGAGCACAAAATCAAAAAACTCAAAATTGGAATACATTACAAACGAATTCAATACACCCGATATACACCGGTAATGTCCAGTATCAAGAATTAGGAAATTTAAGTTGAAGATTAGAAATATTAAATTACCGGTAACCTAAACTGATTTGCTAATATAAAGGTGAAAACCATCCTTTTCAATTAGACTGAATAGGGAAGTTATTTACATATTTATTCAATAAGATACAAATTTGAACTGAGTGGTAAATTTTTGTATTCTAATATATAAGTAAAACTATTATTTTTCTCTAATCAGAAATGTTAGGTTCTCATGACTGTTTCCCGCTTTTAGATTAAAATGTTTTGCATTTCCACAAATCAGTGATCAAGGATGAAAACCCCTAAAAAAAATTTAAATAAAATGATGTCCACAATACTGACATTTTTGTTAATAAATCAAAATATTCCAATTTTGTGAAATGTTACGGCAATATTGAGTAAAACATAACCTTTGATTACAATCAATGCACGGATCACAAAACCGCAGAGTACAAAAGACCAAAAGATTTCTCCCAAGATAATAGCGTTACATGACCAAGGAGAAAGTACTTTGATAAATAATAAGTTGAGCAATTTCATCATATTATTACAAAAAGATCAAACCGCCACATTGATATCGTGGAGTGACTTCATTGCAAAACTATGCCTGGGGGTTATTTGGTTTTGTGGAAAGTGGTTTTTCCTAAATTGCAAGATATACACATTGACTATAAAAAATATCTTATAATTCCACACCCTTCGTGGGTACTAATATCATAGTGAACGTGCTATAATGCTACTCCCAACCTACAATTTAAAAAAAGTACCACAAAAATGTCAATGTGCAACAAGAACGATTCCAGACACTCAATAGGCCATCCAGTATCTCTTCATGTATCAGTGGCGCTTTGATTAAGATGAAAGCGTGAGAATCCCCCAGAACAAAAAATTTGGTAATTTTACTGAATTTGTTTAATTACTGTTCAGGAATATACTTTTGAGATTGATCATTGTTGAAAGATTAATCAACTTGAAAAAAAAAAACGATTTCAACATAGACAATTATATACCAGTAAGTCGTTTCTCCTATTTGCAATTGATAATGATTAGTTCTGCAAGACCACGTTTATTATGTCATAAGAAAAGGCCAAGAAACTAAAGCTCAAATATGTTGAAAAGTTGGAGGGAGTCTATGATTCCATAGAAATATCATACCAGACATGAGAAATATGACCCCAATTCACAATATTCATACAGATGAATATCTTGAGAATTGGTTCATTAATAACCTATCATTATGGCATGATGAATAAGGTACAATACGTCAAACAGGATATGTTCTGGTTATTATGCTCCTTGTGGCTACCTAAGAAGCATCAGTGCATGTCATTAAAACCTTGATTGGAGTGAACAGTGAAAATTCCGAGTAGATGCATGGGCCATGATTACTAAATAAACTATTGTTGATGTATTACCTTCTGTATATTAACTCTGACATGTTACAGAGTGTCCATAAAGTCCCTTCACAATTTCAATTTCGTTATTAAGTCAGTTGTGAGGGCCAAACAATATAAGGTATTGATGAATTGGCAATTCTAAAATTTTTTATGACTTTATGGACACCCTATATTTTTAAGTTTGTAAAAAAGCAATACCTTGAAAAATCCACATAACGTCACATGAGGAAATGAGTTGTGTACTCCGTTACGACCACAATTTATCAAAGAATTTTGCCAGAAATCGTCAAGCACCACTCCTAGTGGCCCTGCAAACAAAAATACAGACTAGCTATTCATGAAATGTTCAATTTATTGACTTTTTATAAAACCTTATCATGACTAAATTGACATTATCCAGAACATAATATAGACTTTGTTTGACTAAAAGGAGAAATATACATTTTGAGATACTGTAGATATTTCAGGAATTTTCCGCATTATAGTACACAATAGAAATCTAAATTGGATAATGAAATTTTGATTCTAAAGATTTGCAAAATTTTTCAATTCCATAGGATGATTTAAATATAGTAAGAAAAAGTACAAGATAATCATTCAACACAGCTGTCAATCCCTGTCATGATAATTAATTTTAAATGGATCAATAGCTAAATTGTTCAACAAATTGATATTAGTATGTACACCATGAATATTTGAATCTATGTTGACAAATTAACACCTCCTCAGTCACAAGCCATTAAATTTAATGAAAGTGCTCCAGACAAAACATGTTAAATAATTCAGTAAATTTATAGGGAGCTTTTATGACTCACAAGAAGCTATAAACACAGTGGGAAACAAGAAAGCAATGCTCAAATACAATATATGTTGTTGAACCACTACAGCAGGTATGGCCTTATATGATTCGATTTAGCCTCAAAGATTGGCGGATGGAATGAAAAAGTGTTTCTGTTTTAGGGTGAAATATTGGGTTCTGTAGGACTTGGATGAAACTTGAAGGTGAAATAAAAATTCCTTGACTCCTAGAAACCACTTCAATCTATAATAAGTACTAAATATTCAAAATCAATTGGTTCATTAGTTACAGAGAAAAGATAAATTCACAAAAACAACTATAATTTAGGCCCAATAATATGCCGTGGGTATTTTTAAATGCTGATAAAATGATGCCGCCTGCTTGATAAACTGATGAACATAGCTGATCAGTTTTTTCAGTGAAAATGAAAAACCCAGAAAACCTAATGAATACACAAAATAATTATACATATTGGCTGATTTAGTCTATTTTGTCTGACCATCAGATGTCAAATGCTTAACAAAGTGACATATTTCTGAACAAAACTAACAAAATGAAGTCTAATGATAAGTACTGCATAACATTTCAAAAATGAACAATTACCTGTTGGACATGCATATAAAATATATTCTCTTGGTAAATCTTGATCTAATGTTGGATCATTAACATGAGCAAAGATCCTGTAAAAATTGAATAAATAAAATAAACATTCTATGAAAGATTTTATAGCATGGCTGTTGTGAAAACTATGAAAAACATTGCAACAGTGATTCATATTAATTTGATATTAAGATACATCAGCTGGTTTTTAACTTTACGCACGCTATATACGCTCTGATGCATAGATTAGGTGTGCTAACTAAAAGCAAAAACTTTTATAAATTACAGAGAAGATTATTGCCAATCTCAATAGAATTAAATATGCATAAAAATATCGTGAAAATAAGTTTAACAAAGTTGTAGAAAAAACATATTGTTCATATACATGTTAATATATGTATGCAAATTATCATACCATACTTTATAAAATCGTGCAATATAAGTTGTATATTAAAATTCATCTAAATTCCTTCATCAATTCATTAAATAGAGGTAATTGATTTCATATATTTATTACAAAAAATGTATTTCTTTTTGTATTGATTTATTCAATTTTAACTAAAATACAATTGAATCTCTTTGTGGTATAATTTCAAATAATTTAAGTAATATAATTTAACAAACCAAGATAGAGGATTAATACCTACCAATCACATGCAACTTGTACTCCAGCACCTCCAGTTGCGACCAACGCTTTCAATCTGAAATAGAAAACATGGATGAGGAAATTGTACAAGAGGCCTCATACTTCCCAATTGAACGCAAACATTGGTTGATTTCGGTAAATCATGAAATCATTATAGGATTTCGTTTTATTTCCTAAATTGCAACAAAATCTAAACAGATGTACTGGAATATAATAACAGTGCAATACAGTCTCTTGCTTTCATATTTTTGTTAAAGAATTTTAACAAATTGTTCTAGTTTAACTGTCAAGTGACTTCAGGACTTTGAAATTTAAATTTTATTCCTATTATTGAAACTGAGAAATTTCTTACGCTCTGCGCTTTGGAAATCCCATGTTGAGTAGTACTTGCAAGTTAGAACTGTCCCGCAGTAAAGTGTCGGCTGCATTTTGTTGCAAAAATAAAGCATTGCTGTCCACCGCTGATGCCATAATTCCGTCTAACTGTCCTAAAGTCTGCACGTCCCATTCACAGCACAATGGCGGCAATGGAGTGTTGAATAAATCCTGAATTTCGGTGAAATAGCCTAGATTAGTCCTGTGGCCCGATCTCCGAAATTATTATGTTATATATCTATGTTATTATGTCGACATGTCTTCAATATCCTGAATACTACAATATCCTAGCATCACTGCATTTTATCCAATTAAAGAGTCCAGCTGCACACTAACACAAATGTATTTCTGTAACGTTTCGTCCGACCAAGCAGTTAACAACAATGGCAAGAAATAAATTTGAAATCTCAAATCAAGTATGACGTAACAATGCATAAACATTTAATTTGCTTTTAGCCATAGAAATAATGATGGAAAAATTAGTGAGGCTCATTCCAGATGCGATTCAAAAAATTATTATTGCATTTACGAAAATGATGAGTAACTAAATGTAATTAAGAATATGGGCACTCAGAGAACAATGACTGAATGAGGAAGTAAACCAACATTTAACTGTAAATCAATGCTTAGTTTGTTGAGGACCAATTTTAAATTAAAATTAGCTTAAAAGTTATTGTTAAAATTATTATTAAATAATAATTCTTAGATGAGTCTACAGTCTATTTCTCCCGTGAATTGAGTCCTTGACTCCTTAAATTACTCATCATTTTCGTAAATGCAATAATAATTTTTTGAATCCTGGAAACACATCTGAAATGGGCCTCACTGATATTTGTGGCCCTAATTTTTTTTTCCATCATTACTTCTAGGGCTAAATGCAAATCAAATGTTTATGCATTGTTACGTCATAATTGCTTTGAGATTTCAAATTTATTTCTTGCCATTGTTGTAAACTGCTTGTCTTGAGAAAGTCCTGACTCTGGTCGGACGAAACGTTACAAAAATACATTTGTGTTAGTGTGCAGCTGGACTCTTTAATTGGTTGAATAGTCATTTTTATTCCAGCTATAGTATCCTTGCAGTATACGCATACAGTTCCACTAGCATAAAGGCATAGAGAAAAGATAGGAAGTTAGTCTCGCACAACCAAACTCAAATCACTGTATTTGGTAGCATATCTCATGAAAATCCTGAAACACAGAAACACAAGAAAACTAGCGTCACAAAATTCTGCTCTCGTTTGCCCCCGCACGAGCTGAAGAAACTCATCGTATCAATGGATTTATGTCGGGGAGAGTATAATAAGTATAAGCTTATTTTGACTCCGACTCCATAATCAGCATAAAAGAAGATAAAAAAAATGGAAAACGTAAAATAAAATCAGAAAAGCCAACAAAACCCTAAATATACTGATAAAATAAAATGTACTCGCGGACGGCAAAACATTGAAATGAGTGGAACGGAACAAAGTCGTCGGTAACTTGGCACCAGGCTCAAAATTAGGCACTCCAGAAGTGTATGTACCAATATGGAGGTGACTAATTTTGTTCGCCTATTTTACATCAAATTGTATAAAGGCACTGAAGCCTATAGGAAGGTGGAATATTCACTTGGCTAACACATACAGTGCCCGAACTCATAATAGAACTGAAACAAGGAAAATCGTAAGAATATTATGGCCTAACCCTAACCTGTTACATATACTAAGGGAGTACCCAAAACCCTGCGACCCATGCTTTTGTTGTGCGTCGCGTGGCCTCCTGCAGGTTGGAAACAAGTTCATATATATGTTACTGGATGTCAGGGCGAGGACTTGGAATAATATATATACGGTTCTTGACTGTTTTGGGGTTTAAACAAAGAAATATGCATAACCTCTTTATTTGGATGGATATTATAATCATGAAAAAGAACAGAAATAGCAAGCGTGTGAATTTTTAGGTTTCCGAATCGTGCGAGTTTTGACCCGGAGTGTGATTACTCGGCCTCAAGACGTCGCAATATGACGAACGACGGAAGAAAAAATGGGGTATTAAACCAATGCAAATTCGTCTTCGGTAAAGCGATTGAGACGGCAGAGAAACAACGAAGTTTCTGAGGTTGGGAACCACTGCTCTAGTCTATAATATCACTGACAAAAAAAAATAACTTTCATAGACCTGCGTTGCATACTGGTCGTGCGAGTAGTTTAAAACCTGCATTGCGGAACAGAACTCAACCAGTACAAGGGGTTATTTTTTTTTTCAATCAAGTGAATGTTTAATATTTCATAGTGTATGTGGCATCCTGGGGATTATTTCAAATTTTTTGTTGTTTTTCCATTGTATGATTACTTAAATGTGTCAAATTCCACAGCTATTCTGTAGTTTATTTTGTGTTGTTCTTCCTTTGCATGATTTTGTTTAATCTGTGCAATATCGAGTTATTCTGTTGCTATTTTTGCTGCTTTAACTCAGCTGCACGGTGTCGCCGACTGATGACTCAGTCTTTCGCGATCCCTAGTCAACCACAACAGGCCGATATTCGTTTCTGTAAATTGTGACAAACATATCACGCATTGTTTTTTTGCATGACCAAAATAAATATCTGCATCACATTTTTCTGAAGTTGAAAGATAACCAATCTGTTGGTAAAACTTAAATCTCATCAAAGTCCTCGGTCTCTCAGACTCGTAATTCAGTAAATCATCCTGGACTAGCTGCCTACAGCTCTAGTTTACTTATTCTAGCTGCATTCGATAATTTAAAGGCAGTCTCGAACATATAGGCGGTTCACTTGGTCGCAGACACCTAATAAAAGACCGTGCTCATAATGTACGCAAAGTCAACGGGGTAACTGAAGACGGTACGATCGTTAACGAAGTCGTCCGCCGGGCCTCAACTTGAGCACGGGCAGAATAGTTATAAAATCACACCAAAAAACGGCATTTGAAATGGATCACAAATTTCAGTCAATTGTTGATATATATCTTCTGCAATCTTGCAAGTCTTCCTTCTTCATCTACTTCCGTCCCTAAATCAATGCAAACGCTGTAAATAGGATAAGTGTATAAATTCAACGAGCTTGAACTTGAACCTTTTATTCGGCAATACCCGTCCCGTAATCCATTTATTTACAAATCTGCAACCGCATCCGTCACCCATGGATTTTGCTCCGCCAAACCAACGCGTTGTGGGAAATCGCAACACCACGTCATATTATGTGGCATCTTGCATTGTTTCAGTTGCGCAAATTTAGTTGCATTCAACTATTATGCAATAATCCAACGTGCAAATTTAAAATAGCAAACTTCAACTAATTTGGGGCAGTCCCCAAGTGCCAAATATGATAACAAAAAACTCACCTCCTTGTCCAACATCTTCTTCGCCAATTATCTGATCTTTGGCAAAAGGTTTACCAGACATCTGAATGCTCGCTGTATTTCAACTCAACAGTGCTGGTTTTCATTCTTGCGCGTATGAAAAGGAGTGATTTCCAAATTAAGTCCTTCATCTCTATTCTATCTCCGTTTTGTGTCCTATATTGTGAAACTGATTGTTTAGGCATATTGAACACGCAATAAAACACCCCGGGATAAATTAACAAATCATTCAATGACTTACAGAAAAAAAACATCCCATCAGAGTACGTTACTTAATGATAAAGAGTTCCGTTATACAAATATAAATGTCAAAGCAGAAAACAATTATTCATTACTGGATTTAGTTGTTTTCGCATAAAATAAAATTCTCAGAATATTCAAGTAAATTTGGTCCCAATTTCATTAAAATCAGCCCGATTAAAATATAATTAATATTAAGAGACTATTGTCCAACAGCCTTATTTTGTTTCAATAAAAGGTCACTCACCCTTTGATGCGAGCGATAATAAATTTAAAAACATTATTACCACTTTCAAATGGTTTCAATTGAACTGAATGTTACCGACTCTGCTCAACAATTCGCGTATATTGGTACCTCAACAAACAAAAAATGAATAATGTCAGTGTAATTAATGTTAACTCGCAAACTGGGCTGCTCACATAGGCAATGAACGGCAGATTACCTTTGCTTTATTATAAGCACAGTCAATTCCTACAAAATTTTCCTTCAATCGAAGAATTGATCTACTTCTCTTATCGGCAGTCATTTTAATAACAGCCGTGAATTCGCCCAAACATTCAAGTCCAGTGTAGGCCGAAAAATGTTATCATTTTTTACATTCAGAATGTAAAAATTGCTACCTTTTTTCGGCCCACGCTTTATATTCTTTTGTCAAACCGTACCTATACTATCATTATAAACGGTTTTTCATCAAAACATTTAATGGGCCAATTAACATAAGATCGCGAAGCTACAATTCCATAACGAATCTTAGATCCACCCAGTCAAGTTGCGAATTGTTTTTGGTATCTGAAACGTTCGAGAAACTTGAAACCATCGCGCCTATGATACAGGAGCATATTATGCTGAATAAACTGCTAATATTTGTAGGTAACTTGTAATTGATGATATAGCTTTAATCATTGCGCTTACATAAGGGGTGGTTAGCGTATTATAGAGTTGTATCAGCTTTTTATCATCATGCAAAACATTTAAATGAAATTACCTTTAGAAAAAATTCATCGAAATCACCTGTATTTTAGGATGGGGTATATAAAGCAATGAACAATAGCGAGATGTCGAGAAAAATTCGCACAAAATTTTTATTGCTTCAACAAAAATTCAAAACCTAATATATATTACCGGCCGTCCTTTATCAAGGTTATCATATGGGTTTGACCCATTCTACTTTTATTTGAGTCGAGGCTTCGTTAAACTTACCGAATGTAATAGCTAGAAGTTAAAGATGATGGAGACAACTTACTCTTTTAAACGCCTGTCCCTCTTTGCTCATCTGTAATCTACGACAGAATAAACAACTCTGTTTCATAACAGCCTGTACACAAACGAACTCGTTCAACTTCTGCGAATGCAAACGCAATCTCAGCTTCCCGCGTAAACTAACGAACGATAACAAATTAATTAACGATATCTAATAATGAATTGAAGAAACACTAATCAGTGATAGATCGAAAAACGTTTAATCAGTTGCTCCGATCACAGGTTACTTCAGGTCAACCTTGTTAGTACTGTATCACGTGAAAGCGAGTTTTATCCACACGATTGCTGTAAGCAACATTTTGATTGTGTGAAATGAGAAAGATTTATTCTTTCGCTAAATTTAACCAGTCAAATTATTTCTTGTTGGCTTCATTTATAAACTAACTGGCCATGAGGCCGGAGTGTTGTTCTTTCATTTTGTTGCTATTTAATCAGACAATACCGGCACAGCACCGTCTCCCGAATCTTAGTACCTATAGTCCGGCAGATAAGGGGACCTTTTTGGCCCAAGTTTGATTTCAGACATAAAGTTTTTTTTATCTGTGATTATTCATCTTGAGGTCATTGCCCATCATTTCTACATGGGTGTGGAGTTTGCAGCCTTGAGCAATTTTTTTTACGGCTCGATATTTGTAACAGTGTTTTTCGTCAAACCTGTGCATCATAATGACGCACAACCTGAACCATAACCTGTTGCAATACTATGTTCAGGTTGTGCGCAATCTTGGTGCACAAACTACGCAAGCACCAAATTTACTAGAAAATAAAATCAATAACTTTTGGGTATTTGTTGAGCCCAGCTTTGGGTCGCGACCCATATACAGTATATGAAAATACTGTCGAAACATACGCGCAAAATAAAGAGTACTATTTCAAAATACTCGTTTTTGTTGTAATTAACAATACAAGCCTGGTAATGCAGTCGCCAGTGGTTCAAGTGGATATACACCCGGTGGAGAACAGTCAATTATTTGTTAGCGAGAATTGTTATGCAGCGGGATGATCACGACGACGCAGGGAAAGATAATGATATCACAAGAACAAGAATGAGAAAATTGCTACATTTTATAGTATATCCCTGGGAAAGAATGTAGTTCATTCTTATGTTTCATGCCAATGCTTTTCATACTACCAAAGACTCTCAACACTTTTACTTCTTCTCTTCTATAAAAAAAACATTATATTATTATGTATATGTTATTATATATTCGCATTTCCATCTGTTTGTTCGTGCTCCCAGATAACCGATCAGCGGCCTCCAAGGAGGACGGGGTCCCCTGTTAAGAAACCCTGTCATAAGCTAAAAAAAGCGACCATGCTTCTCTTGCCTGTTGTCATGCTGTCCCTGGAATTCAGCTACAACAAAAATTTCATGAAAACGGATTTTTAAATTTTATGACTTTATCAATATTCTCAACAATGAATGATATACGGGTGGTAAAATGCCAAGTTATTCCAACAACATGATCATGTTTTTGCAATTTACAACCAATATTTTGTATGTAACTTTGTTTGACAGAGCCCCAAGAGCCCGAACTATACGAATATCAAAAATGTGAGGCCAAAAAAGTCACACTACAACATTGTCAAATGTGCTGTATTTACGATAGATAACAGGTTTACCAAAAGAATTGAAAAATGAAAATGAAAAATGGTAAATTAAAGATCAATTCAGCAATATCTACTTGGTGATATTGCATCTGTTGATGATTTTATGTGTTTGTTTCGGAAGTTTAATAACAGAATTAATTGTGGTTGTTGGGGATGTTTTAAAAAAGGTTGCATGGAAAAAAGGTTTCACAAAATGTCAAGGTTTGATAGTAGTAGAGAAGTAGAAAAATACTCCCATGTTTTTTTTTCTCATTTGATAACCACGCCATAGAACTTCCCCGATAAGTATACGCAGCAATTGCGAGAAGCAGAAATGCCAAGATGGGATTTCATCGCATTGCAAACCAATATTAGCAATTCTTATATATATTCGCGCATTCCCATCCGAACAGCGTGGAAAAGATTATACCCATCTACACACTTTAAGAACTATGTCAGATGAGCGTCATATTATCGAATATCAGTAAAGGAATAATGCAATGGGAAAAGACATATGAGGCGGAACTTTCAGTAGTATGCAATCAAATAATCTTATTGTAGAATATAACTTTGAAAACATTTCGTCACGCCAACTGCAGTCCGAAACTTTTTTTCTCAGGCTGAGCGCAGATACCAATTGGCACTTATGTAAACTGGTAAGACTGTAAGAGGCACGCGATGGACCAGATACTAAGAGTATCCATCCCCCAGCTGTCATTTGAGTGGGTACAGCTGTTTTTATTGCAAATGTTACTGATCTTTTTGTATTAAAGATTTACTGGCATCACCGATTTAAGGATGTTGGAAACCAACACGCAATATTACAAAACTTACTTTCAACACGCGGTTTGAATGAATGAAAAAGCTGAAACTAATATTCTTTAGAACAGCATACAAATTCTATGGAATGTAATCATACACAAAAACTCGTCAAAAACCTATAGCTCAATAATCAAGTGGAATTTGATGCATGTGCACAAAAATGTGCGCGTTACTACGTACAACCGAAGCACGCAGGAAAATGTGTGTGATGTACTAGTATTCAAAACGTTTGACTCAACTATGTTGGCATAACAGGTGCACATCTCGGTTTTGCATACGCGTACCTTCTATCTCCACAAGGATATATTAATTTTGCCAAAATCAATGTAGCTCGGAAAGGTTGCGGTTCTCCCAAAAGAAAACACGTTACACATCTTTAGATACCAGTGGATGGTTTTACATGGCCTTAATTGTTCCTTGTTCGGAGTGAAAGACGAGGTCAAATATTCCAATCCAATTCAACTAATAAAATATTTCCCAAGTCCGTAAGCTTAAACTAGGAAAACGAAATGCGCGCGGCAACGCAAATGTAGTTTGAAGAGCGCAATAGAAAGTGGCTAGATACTGTCGATGGATCTTGGCTTGTATTAGCGAAATAAACTACCATTTATTCTACTAAAATTGAATTTCTGACATTGTAAGGAGATTCAATGTTACTATGTATGCAAAACTAAACCATGTAGTTATGAAATAATTGTTTTTAACAAAAGGGCGCTCCTGAAGTATTCGTACCAAGATGGCGCACAACCTGAATATTGTATGCTTACCAGATGGGGGTTCAGGATGTGCGTCATCTTGGACCGAATACTTTAAATCCACTTAAAAAAAATTGCTCAACATTATATACTTTACACCCGCCTGGGTATCATTATATATGTCATATACATTATATCTAAACAATAAAAAAAACTTTATGTCCCAAAACAATGTTAAGGCCCGATTCTGCCGGACTACTACATATCGTCAAGCTAATAACCGAAGTCATTTTTAGCTGTTTTGAAAAAAACGTAAAAAACCTCCTAATGATATTGTTATGCCCTTGAGAGTCAATAATTTGCCATGGTTCAATTTTTCAATCGTAGCCGGATTCAAGTTAATTTGTATGATGCAATTATGTGACGTCATAATGGCCAGAAATGTGTCTATGACTTGGGGACATACGCAATTTTGCAACTTGACTATATGCACCAGTCCTGAAAACCAAACATTCCAAAAACGAATGTAATTCTCAGTATTTACGATGTCTAATCTCAAAAATAGCTAATCTGTTTCAATTACTTTATTTTTTTATGTTTAAAAATATATATTTCATCAATATAACACGCTCTGCACACCCACTAAAATAAGACTAGGATAAAATATAAAGAATAAAACAGCAATGCATCCAATATAAAAGCCAACCAAGGTGAATTGGACTCGGACAGTGAATATAACAAGTGCACGCTTTCCTATATATATTGTAGTATAAATTCAAATTTATAAGCGCTAAACTAGAATCTGAGATGCAAATTCTTGAAATATACTTCGCAGAGGTTATTTTGCCCCTGTGACGTCACAATAGTCCTGCAGCACCGATGTTAATTCATTATGATGAAACAATTGCACAAATGTGCATGTCATACAAAATCTCCATTTTTATGGGTTTCGGAATTCTTAAAATAAAATCTGAGTTAACAGACAGGTGCGCAGCATTACATAAATACCTGTTTTATAAAATACTCAAAATCGCCAAAAATGACTTATGCAATTCGGTTATTAGCGTGCAATATGCTTTGTATTCTACGTACGTTAGGTATTATTCACTTACTCAAAAATAACTGGGTTTGTTGGAATCCAATGGTTGAAAATAAAGTACGGGAACAGTTTTTGCATTGGCTTTGGCGCGCGGCAATGTAGGCCCATCATCCAGCAATCCGTGCGTTGAGACGATAGTCTATGCAAGGTAAACAACAAGGACTGTGTATCGGCGCTTTTTATGTGATATGTATATATATGATCAATGCAGCATACCTTCAAATGGTACACTCTGGTATATGTACTATGTACCCGTCTCAAATGATAAATAGCGTTTTATGACTATTTGAAGTCCGAGAAACCGGATAGAAAATACTCCCTATTCTTATATATATATATATGGTGACCGTACATTTGCACCCATGTACATTTGAACTCATGCATTTGCACCGATATATCCGCGGGTTAAATCTATATGGGGTGCTAAAATCCATGGGTTAGGGTTAGTATGGGTTCAAATATCCGTAAAAAAAATTCCATAGGTGCAATAGTATGCAGGTGCAATTGTCGTGGGCGCAAATGTAATGGAACCTTATATATATCCCTTTGAATTTTTGAATAATCATGACATTTTCAATTTCACTTTGAACCTTCACTGAATAAAGCATACGTTTATCATGCGCTAGACTGCAAATTCCCGAATGTTTATTGTGTGGCCAGTGGCCACCCACATTGAACGCGCCTAAATAGTATATTTCTTTTACACAATTTCATTTGGCTCGCTTTAAGCTAAGGTTTATTTACAGAGTATGTGTAATGTGTTCCTTGGACCAGCCGGTAAACATATTGGACACTGTTCTATAATATTTGCATAGGCGTTAGCTATTGTTCCTATGACGATTTAATAGCGAGGCTGGTGAAGTAGTGTGTTTTAGGCGAAAGTACTGAGAGAGTGTGAATCTGGTGAATAGATGGGTATTAGATATGTATATATATAGTGTCGCAGTGTTGTAGTTTCCATACAAGCTAGAATTTTGTCATTTCACTGGTTGTATGTTGTAAAGTAGCATGTTTAAGCAGGGTTACTGAGATGGTGTAGATTGATTAGGTAGATAGATAGATGAGAAGCATAGCAATGTATAAAAAGAAAACTTGCAATACAAATAAAGAAAATTAGACGTTTTTCACGTCACTGGTTGTATATTAATCAATACTTATTTTGAATGTTTTGAAAATATATGTGAAAGGTGAAACAGATGGAATGGGAATAACATGCACATTTGTAGTCGTCAATATGAACAATCTAGAAATTAATAACAGCATCTTAGACATACTGTGTTTCCCCGAAAATAAGACCGTGTCTTATTTCAATTTTTTTTTTCCGAAAAATGACACCAGGGCTTATTTTGGGGAGGCTTATATATATTAAAATCATTTCTAAAATTCAGGCTAGTTCTTATTTTCGAGGAAACCCAGTACTATTGAAAAATATCAATTTTGATCATCCATATATACGTGAGAAATAAAAAAAAATATCAGTGAGGCAATCTCTACAAATTATATTCTAGACCAGTGGTTCTCAACCTTTTTCAGTTCGTGGACTGGTAAAATTTCAAAAAAATTATTGTGGACCGGCAGACCTTCAAAATTAACCAAAAATGTCACGAAAACAAAACATAATCAAAAGAATGCAATTATGACAAAAGTAGGCGGTGCAAAAGAAGACAATCCAATTTTATGAGAAATTTGCTGCTGTCTTTTTGATATTATACTCTAGGCGATAAACGCGGTTCTAATGAAGTTTCTGCCAGGTGAAGTAGAGCGTTGACTTCCACACGATTTCGTTAGCTCTGTGGGTTTCGTTGCGTCGTTCGAAAATTTTTTGGCGCAGACTAGGCACATGGGAAGTGGTACTTTTTCGCTGATGGAAGCAATAGTGAAGCCTTGCTCCAAATACTTCTTGTCATACTGCCTAATGAAGTCTCCCTTTCGTTTTTTGCTTGTTTCTGCGTGGTTCATATACATTGCTGCGAGGTCGTTTCGGAGCATGTTGTAAAGTTAAAGTAGCAGTCTCTACCTCTGTCCTGTCAACACCACTAAAATGGTTTTCACCGCTGGGTTTCTTTTAAAAGAACGCGATAATACTTTTCTGTTTGTTTGCCTCCATTTTACTAATAAAACTCGCTAAATTAGAGGCCTACTATCAAATTACGGAACGCGCGAGGCTCAATATTGCGCTACGTTACGGTATGACAAGGCTTCAGTTGTGTAGCTAAGCGCCGACTTTGTTAAAAGATGTGAAATATTCGCCCCCATAGTACCCGTGAAATAAATATATTTTGAAGTCTTCCAGTGACTTGAATTATCTTTAAGACTGAAAAATTGGAATATCTATATATTAGTCGCAGAGAAAAACGACTTTTTCAAGAAATATCTAGAAAATTTACAACGTCCACATAAATTTTATCAAAACGATTCATTAGTCGAATTCGTGTCCACTAGTAAAGTTCTTTCAAATCGTTAGTCTAAGAATTTACATTTTTCCGGTTTTGTCAATTAATTCGATTTTGGTTGTAGAAAGTAAGAGTATACATTTTGCAAAATCGGGTTATTTGATCTATTTTCAAATTTTGAAAATACAACTAAAAACTGGCAAATAACATGCAAAGCCGAAAAAAGTCTAAAAATTTGTAAAAATGTACCATAGAAGCCTCTTAAACTTCAGCTTTTACTCCACTATTGACATCTTGCTAATTAGCCGATGCTAAGGAAGTAAACAAATGAGTCGATGCTCTGAGAAATTTGTATTAACATGACATATTGTCCTCAGTGGTTTGGCGAAAAATGCATTACATAACGATTATGAAATAAAAAGGACCGATGCATTCAAAGTCAATTTACAGCTGCGGTCCAAATTGAATACTCGAAAGGTTCGGATTCAGACCGCGGTCCGCAAGTTGAGTAGCCCTGCTATTATTGGCTATCAAACTCCATTGTTAGGACATTAGCGCCGTTATGAAGTCATAGCCTTGATCATCCAGCCGTTCAGGGCCCAAATGGGCAGAGAACCTTTCAACAAGCTTGGTTGTTGGATGAGTACCGGTACTACAAACCAATAGGAGTTAAAAAATCACAAAATTAATGGACATGCCGTCATTTTTTTTTTACTTTTTAATTTGCCTATAATACATTAATATTGGAATATGTTTGGCGGACCGGCAGCTAGGTTGCCGCGGACCGGCGGTTGAGAACCACTGTTCTAGAATCTCTAGACCATAATTATGGAACCATTCTGATCGTCTTCAAGGTCTTATACTGTATATTGTTTGCTATGAATAGCCCAAGAATTAGGGACATGTCGTTATTTTATACCATTATTGTCATTCTTTGTTGAATGTCGCAATATCCCCATTACTAATTCATTGGTTTGAGTCTGGACTGGAGTAGTATCTAGTAATTGAAGTAATTACAAAGTAGAAGTGTATAGCAGACCAAATAGATAATTCTGTAACGTATCCTAGCGTTTCATTTTGTCATCTCAGCTATTGGCACATGTTCATTTCACGATAGTCACCAAGGAACTGTTAACAGGGTTACTCAACTATTTTCACCAAAGGTTCATAAACAAAACTTCAAAATTACTAGAGTACGGTCTCTTCAGAAAATATATTTTACATTGCGCCTGAATATATTTCAATGCCTGAAACTTTTAGGCGCCTCGCGGAAAGGCGTCTCTTGGAAAACTGAGTATCCGCAAATAATCGACATCCTCAACGCCCGTTGTAATAATAAATTGACCTCTAAAAATATAAATAAAAGTTATTTATCAAAAATAAATTTTCACATATCCAAAGGTAATGAGGCCAATGCTTTAAAATGAAGAATCAGATGTCCGAGTCGAATACTCGAAAGGTCCGGATTCGGACCGCGATCCACCAGTTGAGTTGAGCCTTGGTATAGGTCTATAGGAAATAGATGACATAAGCTAAACTTTGGCTTGTTCAAGAAGGATGAAGCAAACATCAGTTTCCATAATCAAACTTCTTGCAAATGGATGAATTAAATCTACCAAACAACCTCGGCTTGGTCCATAATAGAACATGTTGCAACCTCAACTTTAACATACATGTTCATGCAAAATTATCCGGGTTAGGTTGGCCGGATATCCAAGTTGGGGAAATTTTTCCTGAATTTACCGCAGCCTACTTTTTACAGTCTGGTGATTAACTTGATGGTTTTTATCTTAGCATACTTCAAATTACATATGCATTAACTGTAAAATTACAGAAAATTCGCAAAAGAAGTACTTTTCCACCCATACATCCTTTGCCCAGGACAAGTTTCACAACTTTCACAAGGAAGTCAATATTTATCCGGGCATTTATCGCCCAGCAAACTTTAATATCAACTATTAAAACTATGAAATTTTGGTAAATTTGCTTATTTTAACAACTTTGCAAACAGTAGCTCAAGATTTCACTCTTATCATTACCAAGAAGGCCAAGTACAATTAAATATATAACGAGTGCTTTTAAGTGGCACTCCAGCTTCTGGGACAAAAGAAGCTCATCATTCAATTTTGCCAGAATTAAGTGTCTATTTCGTGTTTGTTTAGTATTATTTTGCTGAGAGATTATGAGTCGTCCGGTCGTGTCAAGATGTGGTTAACTATGGGAAAATTATTTTGAACATTAGTAATTGAAAACAATAAGAAGATTCGGTGGTTAGTTCATTCTCGCTGAGGTGAAGGCGGGCAGAGAGTCAAAAATTATTCAGGACATTTAGTACCTTGAACGAGGTTACTAGCCGTTTGGTTTCGAGAACAGATTACTATTTCTTGCGCTTGCTTGTTTATGATTATTGCATAATGAGAAATATAATGACTGCAACTTTTAGGTCATTCTTCGAGCTCTTTTCTAGATAGTAGCAAAAGAAGCAATAATCGAGCTATTTATTTAGAAGCAATCGGATGACGCAATCTCCCACAAACGAATAACTTGGAATGTTTGATGAATTTTGTATTTAATATTAACTTTTATTTCACCAAAGTTATCACATAGCCTATTCGAATATTTCATACTAGAATAGTTATGTAAAATGTCAAGGCCATCACGAAAACGGGAAAACTGGGAAGAAAGAGAAGCAAGATTGCTGAAAGAAAATGTTTTTGATCACTTGTAAGTATTGTTCGAATGGCACAAGTAGCGCACACGAATGTAGCGACGAGCAATTATTGCAGGTCTCGCCCTCACAAATAAACGTACATGCTCGAATATTATCTAGTTTGTTTCAAAAATTTTAAGTAGGAAAATAATGTTCAAATTTGTGCGAAAAGATAATAGAACTTTAAATGCCAAGAACACACCATGTGTAATGATGGGTTGAAAATTGAAATATTAATTCCCAGAAATATGCAATAACATAAAGGCAGTCTTATGTGCCATCTTGTTCATATTTATCTATTACAACTTTCACGCATGTAAATGGGCTTGGCTGTTTAACTAATATTTCGTAAGAATTTTGTAACTTTCACTGTTTCAAAAATTTTCAAAGTAGAGCAAATCGGACAACAAATATATATATATATTAGAAGTTTGTATCGAAATCCACTCTAGCGACTACTACTCACGGAAAACTACTGCTAACATGTTTGTTAAAACTTCGGTATGTACCACGTTATCGCTACAATATAAGGCACATTTTCCAAAAAAAAATCGTTTTTAATTTAGATTGTTTAATGCAGAAACGGGCGTTATTTTCTCTTTTATGATTATTTCATCGATTTCATCGATTTCATTCGATTTCATTCATTTTTACATACAAACATGAAGGTAGAGAGACTACATATATATCCACAATAGTTTATGTTTGATTCTTCCTTCCAGGGCCTACTATATCCAAGTTCAATTGCCAGAGAAGAAGTTCGTCAGCAGGACAACTTCATTACCTTACCTCGTTCCGAAAACAACGGTAGGTATAGCGGTATTTTTTCTTACTTCAGAGAAATCAAATTTTTGTATTTCATAAAAGTTGGCAGTGAATTAAAAGCCAATAAATTGAAACAGTAAAATAGTTTACTCCATGTGTATTTTTCTCGAATGCGGACCAAGCCGATCAGCTCGAATTTTCAACTCATGTGAGACTTAGTTATTAAATCACTATATCGCAAAATTTAATTTGATACAAATTAAAATTGTAATTGTTGCGCTACATCGAGACTGTGAACAAATGATTAATATACTGTATTAATAGACCAATTCTATATTAATGCTCTGTATCAATAAATAAATAAACCGAGTGTCGATCAGTTTAGTGATGAGATTTTACAGACTCTGGTATATTCAATTGAAAATTCTCTCTCCTTGATTCGAGAAGATTCAACATTCAATTATCCAGAAGTATGTGTATCAATATGAGGGTTACTAATTTTGTTGGCCTTCTTTACACCAAGTTGTGTAAAGGGACTGAAACCTATGGGTAGTGGGTATGTTCACTTGGCTAACACAGACAGACCCCGACTCGCAATAGAACTGAAATAGGAAATGTCTAAATAAAATTATGGCCTAATCCTAACCGGGTGCAAATACTACGGGAGTACCCAATTATATATAAAACGAAACTCTATAAATTTTAGTCATTTTCTCCACAAACAAGTAGAAGAAATAGAGGAAACACACCATCTTCGAAACAACAAAAACAATTCAACGGCAAATTACAAACACCACTATACGACGACGCCAGGGCACATAAGCATGGAGGAAAATCACGGAGTGCTACAGAGAAACCTAAGAAACATAATCACAGAGTTCGAGATATTTCAAGCGATTCTTCGTCGTCTTCGTCATCTGACGAAGATAGAGACAAAAGTTTAAAGAAAAGGTTTGAAAAATTGAGTCAGGGCAAATAATAACTGTTTATTCGGTGCTCCATTAGTATATGTACCAGGTTAAGGTTAGGCCATAATTTTACTCCGATTTTTCTCATTTTAGGTCTAGTAAGAGTTCGGGACTGTCTGTGTTAGCCAATTGAGTATACCCCCTGCCCATAGTTCCAGCCCCTTTCTATAACTTGATGTAAAATAAGCGAACAAAATTAGTTACCTCCATATTGGTGCATACACTCTCAATCGGTTACTTGGAAAATTTATGATACACTATCATTGTTACAAACACTTGACTATTGACTTCACCTTTTAGGGGCAAACTGCTGAAATATTGCATTTTATCACATATATACATAAGTTATTTCGTAGACACCTTCTTGAATTCACGTTTGAGTGATATAGAGTTACTCACCATAGGGGAGAAAAGTAAATTTAATATGGCGGATTTCTGAAAATACTGAAATAAAATAGAAAAATGCCTTAATATTGTATTGAAAAAAAATAAAGGCAAATTATTTGATTAAATTGAGACTACCCGCATTTTAAAACAAATGAAACGTTCATCGTCAATTAATATCATCTTATTTCAGCAAACGGAATGCTGAAAAATTTCTTTAATCATTTCAGTAGAAACTATACCACGCATAAGACAAGGAATATGAAACGCCAGCAACGATCTCAATCATCCTATCCAAGACGGAATAACGCTATACATCATGCTTTCTATTCAAGTCCATACGCTGCTGAGGCTGTGACGACAGACATAAGAAAATTCAGAACAGCCGAAAGTATGAGAAGACAAGCTGAGAGAGTGGCAGCTAATACGTCAAGCTTGCTCGTAAGAAAGCACATTTTGCGTTATACACACGTATAATTAGTTGTGGGATTCAAATTTTGGTAAACCCGTAGTATGTGTACCAGGTTTGGGTTAGGCCATAATTTTATTCCGATTCTCCCTATTTTAGTTCTATTACGAGTTCGGGACTGTCTGTGTTAGTCAAGTGAATATACCCCCTGCACATGAGTTTCAGTCCCTTTACACAACTGAATGTAAAATAGGTAAACAAAATAATTTACCTTCATATTGGTACGCATACTTCTAGAGCGCCCCAGTTTCCCCCCGAATTTTCTAGGAACGGGTTCTGTTTTGTACCAAACTCCCTAACAACAGGTTCCCTCAGTTCAAAAAATACATGTACGTCACTATGTAAGCTATATTAGCATGACACGCTTTGGATGAACCTAATACATAAGTTTCAAAATATAAAGCTAGTCTTCAGCTGCGTTTCCTTTACCAATTTGCTAAGATCATCTAACGCAGGGGTGGGCAAGGATGTTGGAACCGGGGCCAAAAATTTTGCCCATCTAGACTGGCGGGCCATGTAAGTATGAAGTAAAAGCTACATTTTATGAACAATATTTACAGTGTTACAAAAACAAAAGTGGAAAACGATAACCCTCTTGCCAAAACTAAATTTAATCGCAATCCCAACAAATTCCGTGAACTATTTTTTGCTAAAACAGCAAAATTTGGTTTTAGTTTGGTTAAGACAGCATCAGACGGGCCAGATTAAATTACCCAACGAGCCGGATTTGGTCCGCGGTCTGTAGTTTGCCCACCACATAAGTTCTAATGGCTTAAACCAGTGTTCTTCAACCTTTTTTATTGTGGTATACCTTTCACAATTTTTCAAGAACTTTGTATACCTTACAAATACCAATGTTCATTTGAGTCTTAAATAATCATTGAATTTTAAGCACATATTGCACTGCAATATCATCATGCAATCTAATAAGCTAGTGTCCGCAAGTTATAAATTTGATTGACGGTCTTAGCGTCAACGGGGATAATGTTCAACGTAAATTAAACAAAGTGCATGGCAGCCGAAATCACCAACCCAGACACGTGACCGCAATATCTATATAATATGTGATGTAACAATGTACCCACGTCGGTTCTTTGCATAAATGACATTTTATATTTCATATGCGCTGCGTTTGCATTGTTGTCTTTGCTTGAATATTTTATAACTTATTATATTAGAGTTTGGAGTCCCTGACTTAGACTGTACACCCTTCGTATACCCTTTATCAGTTGTATACCCAACTTATTGTTCGGTATACACTTGGGTATACCGTATACCCGGTTGAAGAGCACTGGCTCAAACAAAAAACAGGAATGGATTTGTTGAGTATCACGACATTCCAAGAACGGGTTGCCGCAAACCCCCCGAACCGCACTACTGATTACATTCATTCATCCTATCTGCTATAGTATAGTACAGTGGTTCCCAACCGCCGGTCCGCGGACCGGTGCCGGTCCGCAAAGCTTTTTTGCCGGTCCGCGAGAAATTTCGTTGTTTTTATGCCGTCTCAATCGCTTTACCGAAGACGAGTTTACGTTAGTTTATTACGCAATTTCTCTTCCGCCGTCATATTGGCGACTTCTTTCACGACATCTTGGCGCCGAGTAATCACACTTTTCGCTTTTTCGGCTTCGATTCATCGCGAATGCGCGGCATCAAATCTCGCAAGATTCAGAAACCTAAAAATCGGCACGCGTACTTTTTCTGTTCAGCATGCTTTTCCTAATTAACATTACCATCCATATAAAACGTTATGCATATTTCTTTGTTTAAACCCGAAAACAGTTAAAAACAGTATAATATTCCAGTAAGATATGTAGGCCTACTTGTTCCGACCCTGCAGGTGGTCACAAGACGCGCAAAAAAGCACGGGCCGCTGAGATCTTTTCCAGTATTTTGAGCAGGCACAGTTGGATTTTGAGCCTGGTGCCAAGTCACCGACGACTTTGTCATTGTGATGTAAATTCAATTTGTTTGATGCGTCGATCAACTGCAGTGGCATTTACATGTTTTTCATGTGAGATGTTGTATGTGTGCCTTTCTTACATTCCTAATGGGTGCCCAGCGCTGCATTTCATTACGCGAATATATTCATGTTTTACCCATTTCAATTTTTGGCCGGCACATTATATATATATGATATTTTTAGGTGTGCCTTTTATCATCTAAAAGCATACTGAGTGCCCGACATTGCATTATATTACGCAAATATATGTTATTTTTTTCTGTTCCGGTCTTTTCAATTATTTGCCGGCCCGCGAGTACATTTAATTTAATTTTACCGGTCCGCCAGGGTAGAAAGGTTGGGAACCACTGGTATAGTATCCCAACCTTTCTACTCTGGCGGACCGGTAAAATTAAATTAAATGTACTCGCGGACCGGCAAAAAATTGAATTGTCCGGAACATAAAAGAATAACATATATTTGCGTAATACAATGCAATGTCGGGCACTCAATATGCATCTAGAGCAGCGTTTCCCAACCTTTTTTGGTCGCGGACTATTTTCTCACCGGCGAAAACCTTTGCGGACTCAAAGTGCGTCTAGTGCAACCGTACTCTGAGTAATGAAGCAATAAAACCAAACACAACAGAAATTTAACGAATTTAAAAATCGGAAATTCGCCGCAATTACGCGTTTGTTAAAGAGCCGACTTTTTTGGTGTATAATGAACTTTTCTGTCGCACAATATTCAATTCATGACAACGACGATAATTTGAATTGTCTTTCTATTTTAATTTAATTGGGTTCATCATGGTAACTCGCGGTTGCGTCGACTTACGACAAGATGAAAGCATTACTTTTTTTTAATTCCACTGCCATCTGCGAACATAATAATGAGAGAATATATTGCCTGATTATATTCAGCTTTGATACATATTTTTTGCGATCTTGTGAATTTGTTATCGCTGTTAGAAAAAATCATACTATCTGCTATAAATTTCCAGAATGTACAACTTAATTTAGTATTTATTAAAAATATATTTAAAGTACGGTATATATATTAGTAAATCGAAAATGCATATTCATCGCCTTGAAATTCTCGCAAACAACTTCTGAAGTAATCGTCGCGTATACGTCACTCGTTAAAAGAGCCGACTTTTCAATGATTTTTTCTGTTGCATAAAATATTCAATTCATCCACATGTGTGATTCTTTCAATCTGCGGTTGTGTTGACGAAATAAGAGCAATACTACTCAGAAAATACCATGACAATCCGTGGACGCAAAAATGCGTGGCAAAGGGCCCGAATATATCTTGTTTTGATTCGTATTTTTGTGAATTCGACAAATCTGTGTGAATTCGACGTTACTACTGCGCGTACCCACTGTGCGAGGCAGTAAAGCAGAGAATCCTAAAGGTAAATGCCCTGGTATGTATACTACGGTAGCACCCGAAATTTTGCGATTTGCTATGTCTAAAAAAATCGTTTTTAATAGGTCGCGGACCGCTTTTCAATTTAGAAAATTTGGGTTGCCACCATTTACACCTACCAGAAAAATAATTTATTCCTCGTTGTTCGAACTCGCGAGAAACACCTATTACGAATCTATCGAAGCGTGTACAGACTCTTGTTTTCGTCGGAAATCCACAAGTAGGTTGTGGAATCCAATCGTTTAATTAGGCGACTCGCAAGTGACCTGTCGCGTCACGTGTTACCAAATTTTCGATTAGTAAATGTGCTATTCTAATAGTTGAATATTCGAATATATGCCCAGCCCTACTCAGTAACCAGTAATTATTGATGCGATTAATGTCATGTAAATAAACTGACTTTTTGTGTTTTTTTTTGTAAATTCTAACACAAATCCTAACTTGGCTGATAGTTAATTAAGTTTCGCAAAAACGTTTGCGGCCCGCAGTGAATTTCTGACTCGTTGCGGACTCATTTAAACGCTCTGCGGACTCATTTGAGACCGCGGACTCGGGTTGGGAAACACTGATCTAGAGTCTAGACAAAAAAGGCACACTTAAAAACAGCAAACACAAAGAAAAACTATCAAATAATGTGACGGCCAAAAATATTTGCGTAATGAAATGCAGTGCTGGGCACCCATTATGCGTAAGAAAGGCACACATAAAACATCTCACATAAAAAACATGTACATGTTAAATCATGTACAAACGCAATTAACTCTAGTGAAAATTTTGCTGCTGTTTAGTTTCCAATATAGGATTGCAAACGATGCCTCAAGGAAGTTTCTGCAACACGTAGCCCTGCAGCGGCGTGCAGCCAATTTCCTTGCTTCGCTTTAATTAAAGCTAGTGATGAAAATATTTTTATATATAAGTAATAAAAATATAAGTAACTCGTTCAAAATACGGACAACAGTTTGATTGCTCGATTACTTAGCGATGGGTATTCGTTATCAAGGGATATCCAAAATTGTGACAGTGATTCTTTTTTAAATCTGGACTGTAAAGTAGAATCACAATTTGAATCAAGCTCTTTCATTGGGTTTATCCTATTAATCCCTCTGCAGTTGATCGATGCTTCAAACGGAATGAATTTACATTACAATGACAAAGGTAATTTGTCGTCGGTAATTTGGCACCAGGCTCAAAATCCTACTTTGTCTGCTCAAGATACTGGAAAAGATCTCAGCGGCCTATGCTTTTTTTGCGCTCCTCGTGACCACCTGCCATATTTTACTGGAGTATTATACTTTTCTTGACTGTTTTTTGGTTTGAACAAAGAAATATGCATAACGTTTTATTTGGATGGTCATATTAATCAGGAAAAGCATGCAAAACAGAAAAAGCACGCGTGCCACTTTTTAGGTTTCTGAATCTTGCGAGATTTGATGGAGCGCATTCACGATGAGCAAAAAGTGTGATTACTTGGCGCCAAGATGTCGCGAAAGACGTCGCAATATGACGGCGGAAGAGAAATTGCGTAATAAATCGACCTCGTCTTCAGTAAAGAGATCGGAGCGCATTCGAGATGAATCGGAGCCGAAAAAGCGAAAAGTATGATTACTGGGCGCCAAGATGTTGCAATATGACGGCGGAAGAGAAATTGCGTAATAAACCAACGCGACCTCGTCCTCGGTTAAGCGATTTAGACGGCATAAAAACAACAAAACACCGAAATTTTCTCGCGGACCGGCCAAAAAGATTCGCGGACCGGCAGCGGTCCGCGGACCGGCGGTTTATACTGTTCTTTGTCTTCGACCATTATTCTGAGTTTATCATTATTTCCAGACTACTATTCCACTTACTAAAGTTATCGAAATCAACAAATATCGTTCGCCAACTAAGACATATTTACGATGTTCCAGTAGTTTCTCAGAACATGCAAATGGTATGCTAGCATCTGACAAAGCTGTCCATTATGCGACAAAGCACGAAGAAAGAGAATCGGCAAGGAAATTTGCAAAAGAAAAGGTTATTTGTTTATTCTCGTCACTAATAATTTATTAATATAAAACAAGTGGACAATGCTCAAATCCATGATCACAAAGTTCAGATTTTATAAGAGTTGTCGCTGTTATTGAAATAAGAGAACAAAATATTGAGTAAAATATTGGATCCCGTAATATACGTTTTCAAATATATAAAATATAAAAACCGATATTCATTTACTTATAAATCACGTTCTTTATCAAAATAACTGCAAAACATAGATTATCAATCATTTAAAACGTGTTGGAGAAATTTCTTGCTATCGACTAGGTAAAAAATATTTTGCGTTATTGACTAGGTCTTATTTCAAGGGGAGGGCTTGTATTGAAATCATTTTTAAAATTCAAGTAAGGTCTTATTTTCGTGGAAGCACGGTAGTAGCCGCTTGTAGTATCTCATATGTGCAAAATTCCAATTACAGGCACTGAAACATTGTTATTGTTTGGTTCAGTAAATGAGAAACATGCGATTTTTCACTACAACAAACCAAAACCTCAATTAGACCAGCAATGAAAAAAAATTAACAAAACCTATATGTGTTCAATGCGTGTCCAATAAACTATAGTAAAGTTGAGTTTTTCCTGTTTTTAATTCAGTTCAAACCCCGCTCATTGATTTTATTATTTATTACGGAGTAAATCATATTCGTTAATAAAAACAATATCGTAAAATAAATCTTTGTGTTTATTCCCAGAAACGTAAAGAGAAAGAAAAACGCACGAGAAGAAGAGAGAATGAATCCTCACAGTCATACGCAAGAAAATATCAAAAACCACTCAAGCCAATAGTGGGATATGACTCCGATCAGTAAGTTTTTGTTGTGAAATCATAAGGCTCAATTGATTATGATTTAAGCTCGCTATATCGCAGTAGCATGGAATTGGCGTTTTACACGAATCGTATATTTTTTGTGCGCGTAGTGCTACTTATATTCATTACTTATTTCTAAGGATTCGTTAAATATTGAAAAAACAACGAAAACGGAATTTTTATGCAGGACTTTTGATATTCCCGTAGTGTGTGTACCAGGTTAGGGTTAGGCAATAGGCAATAATTTTATTCCGATTTTCCTTATTTTAGTTCTATTACGAGTTCGGGGGCTATTTGTGTTAGCCAAATGAATATACCCTCTGCGCATGGTAATCAGTCCCTTTACACAACTTGATGTAAAGTAGGCGAACAAAATTAGTTACCTCCATATTGGAGCGCCCTTATTTTTAATGATTTGTTAAATATTGAAAAAATAACGAAAACGGAATTTTTGAGCAGGATTTTTAAAAGGCAAAGAGATGAAGTATTGGAAAACGTTATGAAGCACTACTTTAATTCGTCTTGTGTTTTTTTTTAAATTGGAATCAATCCTTATTTCATTTCTCAGGGACACGTGGCGCCTACAAATATTTATTTGTTTTAGTCGCCATGGGTAAGTTTGATGGAAATTTCTGACAACAGTAAGGTGAACGTAGTCATGTTACATCAACAGATGTAACAAAAATGCTTCGTTATAATCTTAATGAGATAACTGTTTTGCGTTTTCGCAGCATGGATGAGTCAAATTCCAATGACTTTTCCTGCAACAAATCCTTAACATACTGCGACTACTATTCCCCTTACAAATCATTTCAATCTATATTCAAGTCTTTGTCATTTGCGCTTGCAATCCCTTTTCAAAATAATATAAATATTGTGTTATGAAATTCAATCCAAAATATTTGAGCCCAAAGACACGTTATCGAATTTGAACATCGGGCGCTCCAGAAGCATTCGTACCAAGATGACGCACAACCTGAACCCTAAACTGGTACACATACTATGTTCAGGTTGTGAGCCATCTTGGTACGAATACTTCGGGAGCACCGAACTTTGACCCCGTATCCGTTGGTATGCGATCTAATGGATGTGATCTATATATGAATATATAGAGAGAACCTGTTACAAGAAACAATAAATATTTCTGTGTTGATTTTCATTAACAACATATGAAAAAAGAATCTTATAGAAGTAGATTATAGAAGCGGAACTAGCTTACTCGATTAGCTTAGTGCGTCTGCAAAATTCAGCAAATATTTTATTCTGACTATAAAACAACATATATACAGAAGTTCAACATTTTAAAAGCTTGAATGTATACAAGTTTTAAATTCAAAACATATTTTTATCCCTAGATCTCCATCCGTGTCGAGCAAAACATTGACAACAAGATCTAAATCTTCAATGTCAGTCAACAGTGAGTCATCAGAGTCTACAGTTGTTCCAATCGAAACGTCTTCGTCCGATTCCGAAGGATCATCAATAAAACAACAGTACACGAAAACTTACGTATCTTCTCATAAAACAGTTATTAATAAGCCAAAGGAAATGGGTTCGAGTGATTCGTCATCAGAAGACGAGATTAATTTGAAACACACAGAAAACAAATCAGGGTCTCAGAAAAAGACTAGATATGCAAGAAATGGCTCACTGCCAAACGGATCAATACCGGCTTCTTCACATAAGCACAAAGATTCTAAAACTCACAAAGAATCTAGTCGAAAAACTAGTTCGGATTTTAAATCATCAAAACAAGAAACTAATAAACATGTGATGGAACGCGTGCCGAGTAGTAGCAGTTCGAGCGCATCATTCGTTACCTCATCCCAGAATCAAGCGACAAACGATGGCTCGACAAGAAAAAGTTCGTCTAGTCAGCCATCCGCCCCAACACAGCGACCAGTAATTCATATATATTCTCCTAGCAGTTCATCTATAGACAGTGACACAACCAAGTCAGTTGCAAGCGTCGTACATTCATCGCAAAACGAATCGCCACTATTAGAGAAAATTGAAAGAGCGACTTCTGAGCCTTCTGGCGGAATCAATGCAACGTCGGTTAACGTGAAAAACAATGCGGTATCACCAAGTCAAAGCCGTGTAAGCAACCATACATCTAGTGAAAGTTCTATTTCATCTACAGACACCGAAAATAAAAATAAAGAAGCGAAAGTCAAGCCTTTTGATATTAATAACCAAAAAACTGCTTCAAACGACCAACAGCCAATAAAATCACACTCGGAACATGAAAGTAGCAGGTCTGGGATAACCACTGAAAAAAAGCACAATTCTACGAGTAGTTCGATGTCAGAGACACGAGACATCAGGACATCCTCATATGACCAAGACGTGATTGCAAAAAGCACTGATGGCGAAGACGCTCGACAGGAAAAGGCAGAGAGATTGGGAACATTGAAGAAATTAGTGAGCAGCTCTTCGTCATCATCAGGTGGGTCAGATTCGGATATAGATGACAGAAACAATCACTCGCAATTTGATTCGACTAACACCAATGTCGATAAAAAATCAAATGTTACCACTAGTAGAAAATCTACTACAGAAGACAGCAGTATATCAAGCGACGTTTTCATTTCTGAATCAAGAGAAAGCTCTGTCCGACCTAGTGTGACGTCATCAATACATTCAAAACAATCGGATGACAGTTCGTCGTCATCAGAATCAGGAAGCTTTGACATGTCATCGATGACGTCATCGTTACGTAATCTCATCGAAGAATCTCGAGTATCATTATCTTCGTCAAGTGACGATGATGACAGTGAAAGGTCAGTAGCCTATTTACTCATAATTCTGCAAAGTTTCCCAGTTTTTTTTTTCGCTGCTTTGCCACCAGTTCTTACCCATACGTGGCACGGGTGAAAGTTTGTCATCGACATTTCTCCTTAATAGTTTCTTTTTTGCCTCGAATGAATACGCCTCTATTGCTATACCGTGTTTCCCCGAAAATAAGACTGGGTCTTATTTCAATTTTCTTCCGAAAAATAACACTAGTGCTTATTTTCAGGGGATGTCTTATATTTTCATTTATCAAAAACAAAAGCACAAAGTAGAGAATTTTCAAATATACAAAATATGAAAACCTATATTCATTTACTTATAAATAACACGTTTTTAATTAAAATAACTGCAAAACATAGAATATCAATTATATAAAATGTGTAGGAGAGAGTTCATGCTATCGACCTGGTCAAAAAAAAAAAATTTTGCGTTATTTACTAGGTCTTATTTTAACGAGAGGGCTTATATTAAAATCATTTTAAAAATTCAGGCCAAGTCTTATTTTCGCGGAAACACAGTAGTAGCCGCTTGTAGTTTATTTTTAGACGTACTTTCTAATAAATCCTAGAGACTTTGGCTTGGAATAGATGGTACTGCGACTGCGATGCACATATGGTGTTTATATGAGAGTTGGGCTGAAGCAGTAATCGTAATTTACGGCAGTAAAATGGTATAAGGTCAGGTTTGTGAACTACCTTGCTTACTCAAGTCATTCAGATTGTAAGTAAACAAAAATACTCGGCGCTTCCGTAGTATGTGAATCCAGATGGCGGACACCGCAACGTAGTATGTGTACCAGGTTAGGGTTAGGCCATAATTTCAGGTACAAATACTACGGAAGTCACTTGGCTAGTCCCCGATCTCGTAATAGAACTAAAATAAGGAAAATTGGATCAAATTATGGCCTAACCCTAACCCTGGTACACATACCCTGGTACACATACTACGGGAGCGCCAAGTACTAACTCATGAAATATCCGTGGAGTTTAACTATCTTTTCAATTCTTGGCAGATTCAGATTAGAAGAAAAATTCTTCGGCCATGGAAATCAAGATGATATTTCTCATCAATTTGATTTACCGAATGAGAAAGAACCATACGTTGAAAGTGGAGGAGAAATACTAGGAGTTATGAAAACATCGGCAAAATATGGATAATATTGAAGCATGTTATATCTTTGTCTGCAGTGAATAAAAAGTTGAATGTTTTTAAATGACTTCTAAAAGTCTTTTGAAATATACACTCACACATACGAATGCTGTAAAAGTACATGAGATTATTGTTACCCCTCAATTTTCAGCCTCTAAGCTAATATTTTCATAACGTTTTATATTTATCTATAATCCTTAAAATCTTGAATATATATTCAAGCATACAAACGGTGCAGAAAGCACGGCAATTTTATATATATATATATATCTCATTTTTCAGCGTAAAAACTATTTTTGTAACTTTTTATATTTAAACATCAAATCGCTCGCAAAAACATCTAAGTTTTTGGCCTTAATTACCCTATTATAGGCCCTTCTTGCGAATGAAAATAACTGGTATACCCAAATTTATCTTTATTTTAAATACCTTTTTTTAATCGTATTTTGTTTGTATTCAATTTGCGAATATAATAGAATAGAAAAAAACATTATCAGATAAACTAAGGCAGAGGTTATCAACCGGGGCCCTGTAGGCCCACCAAGGGGGCCATAGAGCAGTTGGAGGGGGCCATGATGCTAGGCGCAAAACTGATTTTACTTTCCCTTTCATGAAAACTCCCCGTTCTCCCTAGTTTCATTGCTTTGATTGCTTGCTTGACATGCTTTACTTTGTCAAGCATGAATTGTTTGAACATAATGGGATTTCGAATCTGCCAATCAAAATAGCACTATAAATATCACTAGAGTGATAAACAGGGGGCCATGAATGCTAAAACCCTCCTGAAGGGGCGACGAGCCATATAAGGTTGGAAGCCACCGAACTCAGAGTTAGGAATTTGAGATTGGTCAAAATTAAAACAGCGAGAGCAGAAACTAGCTCTATGCAAGTACTATACAAGAGTTCCATTGTAATTCTGTCACCATAGCATAAATGCAATTGGTAAGAATAAGTACTGATCCAGGCAAAAGTCTGCTTGTGATCCTTAAGCGGTGATTTATTGAAAAAGCATCTGGCTAAGTGCGTTTGTGATTCTCAAAAGTTAAAATCGCAACTATATACTTGACAAACTATTGAAATATTTTCCATCTTTTAAAATGGAAATAGACGCTACGTTGGTGTCTTACAATAACAACAACAGTGTCACAGTATTATATCGTAGTGACTCGGCGAATAATCAGTAGCATAGATGCCATATTTGTAGTAGTCCCTTGGGTCACATACCTTATTGATAATCGCGAGTCATAAATTTCGGTAGCTGATAGCAATATATATATAGTAAAAAAAGAATCTAAAAAATTGGATAATGAAATTATAGTACGGACCATACAATAGCAAGGTGTCAGTGTAAAATTCTAATACGGAATTAGCGAGAGAACCAGTTACAGAAGAGAACCAGCAGAATTGTTTTAACAAAGGCAACGAATTTAATAACACACAACAATGCTAACAATAGCTATGGACATCGTTCGTAAGTCGCCTTTACATCACCTTTCACAATTACGTCATCTTCATGCATAGATATGACATAATCATTTTTACAGGAACAATCGTTCTCATTCAAATTACTGATTTCGTCAGCACTCAGGATTCGACCCCAAACTCGAAGGTTTTCGATGACTCCAGTAAAAGCTGGTGGACTATCAAAACCTCCCGCTCTAGAATCCTGATCTTGGCCAATGACGATTGTTCCATTTCCTGGTATGTCTTGGCTAGAGTCCAATTCTGTAGTTTCTCCCACTACTCCGTTTACGTATAATTTGACGTATGATTCCTGCTTTGATATTATCAAACACAAATGAGTTTTATCAACTGGTGCAATGTGGAATTTTATCCCCGCCTCATGTGCCATAAACAGCCATATACCATGGTTTTGAAATTTTATATAAATGGTGTTGGCTCCTTCCAAAGCCGTGTGGTAGCTAAATAGTGATCCGTCCAGGTGCACTATTGGGGCCACGCGAGCGCATATCGATACTGTGGAAAGATCTGGCAACGATGACTTCAAAACCACGTAGTCGTGTATGTTATCGTTGTTGGGGAATTCGTATTTCGTTCTCTGCAATACTAAGAATAGATAGAATTTGGTTGTGATTTGTTATCTCTCTGAGAAAGGCAGGTTGATTTTAATAATTTACCTTTTGGTACAGTAGTCTCTGTATGTGGTATTGTGGCGACGGTACTTTGAGTCGAAGTCGTCACTTGATCAGACGTTGTGTGAGTACCGATACTAGACATTGGTGTGTCAGTACCCGTGCTGGACAAATGCTTTGGCATTGCTGTCATAGATTGAATGTGCTCAAGTTGACGTTCAATGTATTTTGCAACATTTCGCTCCAACTCTGAAATGTAATTTTATGAGTGTTTCAGCGATTAGGCTACTACTGAAAACACTGAGTTTGCCATAGCACGCAGCAAGGATTGCATATCGATACCAAAGTTTTGTTTTTACTTCATACGTCATAGATGCATGGTTGCGTATTTTAATAGCTTTTTGGTACCACCCGCAGCTGTTTGCAGTTGCGGCTGCTCTTTAAATGGTTATTCGAGCTTGATGACTGACGACACAACTTTTGTGAGTTGCCTCACAAATGTGCCACGAAATGACAAACATCAATACCCTAGTTCCTTGATATTTAAGTAGTATAAAGAAACTTACCATCGAGGTGATCCTGTAAATAGATAACAGTCGCATAAAAACAGATTAATATACATTATATAAAATCAAACATTGAAATACATTTATGACCTATTTATTATTACTTATTTACTGAAAACACGAAATGATCGATTGAAACAGTAACATTCGCGGTATTCCCAATTTCTATCCCCGTGGAACAAATTAGTATATGCAGGGAGGTCGCTAGAAAAACAGAAAGTTTTGTCAAGCAGCTATTTATTTTTACGAGAATAACCTTTACAAAGTTTTTTAAAGTCATATATGTTATACAGTACTCTCATATATGCTCGAAATGTCGTTCGTGCACTTCATAGCAGTGTTGTTACCCTTTAGAAGCCCTAGGTCGTGTATCGTTTTGAAGGTCAACTCGTTCCAATTTAACCTGTAGCCTACCTATACGCATTTTATTCTGCTTTTCTAGCGACCATCCTAGCAATTTAGGTTACGGCGTTAGTTATTCTTCCACATTATTTATGAGTATTGCGGCCTGCAAAATGACGATTAAACCTGGACGGGGAAAATTAAAAAAGGATATCGTACTCTAATTACGTTTAATCGCAACTATCAAACCTTGAATTACTAGAAAAGATACCCGTTGAGTTATGTAAGTGTAATGTGTCACCCAAGTTTAGTCATAAATGCCCATATCGGACCAACACTGGACACTTATCATGCAATCGAATGAGATTCAAAATATGGTCACACTAAGACATGAACGCAAAATAGTGAAACATTGATTCAAAACCGTACTCACGGAATTAAAATAAAATGTTTTGCAAGATTTATCATTCTCATCACATTCGTCATCCGATGAGATAGATATCTCAGGAGCGTTGTGGCCTGTAGTATATATCGGTAAAGCAATGTAATGGATAAGAAAAACAAGATTGTGCCGTACCACTGAATTATAAGTTTTTAAAAAAATATAAATTGCGATGAAAGTATTGTACCTTATTCCAGATATAATGTAAACAAATATACCCGTACATATGAGAACATAAAAAAATATTGACTAAATTTCCGGATAGTAAATAATTTCTTATTGCTTGAATTTTGTAAAATGGTGTAAATTGGGATGCACAATAGCGACTAGCATATCAAACATTTTATAATGCAACAAATAGAAAGTATTACCAAGTCCAACTATTCTGCTAAAATATACATATATGAAAGGCTTATACGAACAGTACAAGAAAAATATAACGACGAAATAACGAAATAATCATCAGTAAACACCATATTCGGAAAAATGTAATCTGACTCTAGGCTGATTTGAACACGTTTATTAATGTTGTTTACCTGTTGGTGTTTGGCATTGTTGATCGTTGTAGCTACTTGTACGCTCGACAATCATCAGCAAAACACCGACATAAAAAAGTAAATTCATATATGAAGACCGTATATCATACATTTTTGGCGTATAGTTGTCCTCAAAGTACATTCATTGATATATTGTTTATGCGGCATGCCTAATGTACATTAAAAGAGAGAAATATAACTGTAAAGATTAAAAAATAGATGTCAATGTCGGCTTTCTTCACGTGGGTAGTGCAGGACAACTACAGGGTTTCGCTTGCAGCTATCTACCTGAATATCTATTTAGAGAAAATCTCTTCACTATCATCATAGAAATGCTTTCAAGAATTTATTTCGATCAGTACAATCTAGCTCTAGCACAAGTCTTTGAAGATAATCTTAAACCATAAAAAAAATGAAACTGTCAACTTAGTACTAAAGTATCACAAAACGTTCTGATAGAACAGTTGAGTCTTAAATTGATTAGGCCCATGCAAATCGCAACCCTGTGGAATGTTGTTAAATTTATTATTCTGCTTCAGTTTTTGCATCCCTTGAAGAACTGAGTCAAATCATTCAGTCAGTTTTCTATTTCCATTCAGTCAGTTATTGTATATCACTTCAATTACTTCCTCCAAATCGAAGAGTCGTCACGTATGTTTTGCTAGCTATAGAAATATCGCGTGACTCTTCTCGGAGGCATTGCTAGTGCATTACATATGCTTCATCGTGATTTAGGTAGACGTAAAATCAAAATATCTTCTGTTTCCCGACTCAGAGTATCAACAAAATTATGACCCTATAACCAAGATTATCTCATATTTATTCAGTGAAAAATATTGGTTATTGATTGATATCGTGAAGTAAATATTACTCCCGCTATTGGTAAGGCCCAGTGCCAAAGTCATTCAAATGAAGTTTAATGCCATATATACATCCCCATTCTTAACCAATTAATTAACATTATGGCATTCCCGTAGTATGTGAACCAAGATGGCGGACACCGGAACGTAGTTTAAATACCCGGTACACATACTACGTTCCGGTGTCCGCCATCTTGGTTCACATACTACGGGAGCGCCAACTTTTTTATAATCAATTAATTTACCACAAATGATCATCCAGTGCCCCGTAAAATCCATATTTTCAAATTTCTTTACCTGGAGCTAGAAGTTCAGCTATAGTTTTAAAAAGCGAATTAAATCGTCAACGCCAATAATCGCTCAATTTGACGCGGTCTGCCTCTATAGTGTTTTAAACGCTAACACGGGGACGTTCTTGGCGGGTTGAAACTTCAAAAGTTAAATGTAACAAATGAAACTCTCATAGGTTACTATAACAAATAATTCTCGTTGCACACATCTTAATTTCAAAAAATATACACATTTCTTTCAAGCAATTTATTTGCAGAAAGAGAACAGAGTTAACTGATCAGTTAAAAGACAAGTAAGTAACTTCTAGCGGTCCTTTAGTTCTGATTCTGTCTAATGTCAGTCAACGGACGTTGTCTATGTTTCGAAGGTTGTAAAAAACTTTCCGTTAAGTGTAACGTGATATCCAACGTCATCGACTTTCACCGTCAACTGTTTATGGAAAAATAATAATATATTATCAATACAATCTTAAGTTAGTGAGATAGCTTAGCGTTCTATATGTACATCATAGGCTATACAGAATACATGAGAGTTCGAAACTAAGTCAATTTCTCGGGCGCTCCAGAAGTGTATGTACCAATATGGAGGTAAATAATCTATCTATTTTACATCAAATTGTGCAAAGGGACTGAAACCTATGGGCAAGGGGGATATTCACTTCGCTAACATAGACAGTCAACGAAACTCGTAATAAAACTTGTACACACACTACGGATTACCATTCTTCACCAACTGTTCAACGAGTAGGCCAGGCTTTGTAGGACAATGCGATTCTGGTATATCCCGACCCAGCAAACATAATCTAAATCAGTGTTTTTTCAAGTTTTGGCAGAGTGCCATCCAATGTAACATTCCAGAGGCTCGAGGAACCCGTGTGCGAGAGTTCACTGCGTTTTTATTTTTTAAACAAGAGAGCTATGCTCAAATATATGGACACGTAGCGCCACATAATTTTGATGACGTCATAGCAAAAAATCAAAGTATAGCTATCTGGGGAAATTCCATATTTTAACCACGGAGATTTCAAAGCAATTGGTCCAGTAATCAAAAGAGAAAGCGATTTCTTCAAAAACGATAAAAAGAACAACAAAACGATCGTTATGCACACTACGTGTCCAAAAATTAATAAATTATAATTATATACAAAAACAGACCCAAAATTTTATTTAATTGTAGAAAGTTTAATATAGTTGTGAATTATAGGTACCGGGTAATTATTTTAGTTGAACAATATACGTATATTAAATATAGATACTCGGCTTGAATCTAATTTGCGAAACCCTGGATGTATTGGCGGAACAGTAGGGTTCCACGAAACCGCGGTTGAAATTTGAAATTGATTTTGAAATAATGTAGTCACAAATCGATTTTGTTGTTGGAAGCGTATTGTACTAAATGGGAAAGAGTCGAATACTAAATTAAATTTTCGCAATAAACCTAATGGAATTTATATATATATAATATATAAATTTAGTGCAAATAAATATTTTGCAATTGACGATTTGAACAAAACTAATTAAATCTATAAGCTATCAATTTTCAAAGCGTATTCAAAGATTATTCCAGCTTCCCATCGCTTGATAATCTCAGCAACTTTGGTTGACTTCAAGTTTTAGTCTATGCTATGCACAAAATATAACACAAGGCATGAATTCATATGGATGTCGTACGCTTTGACATTACGCACCGTAAATTCTATGTCATATTTTCAATTGGAAGTCCGAACTCATTGGTATGTTTCTCCTCCCTGCGCCATTCAGTTGTGAAATCATTTAGTACCGAAACTGTTTCCGACATTTCAGGCACGAAGTGAAAATAAATTTTGGGATCAGGTCCATCAAAAATTGATCCGAAAATCTAAAATACAGATTTTTTTTTATACAAAACTTTTCTACCTCCATTCTCTTAAGTAATCAGTACCCCGAAGGAAAACAAAATGAACTTGTTAAAAAAAAACGAAATATGATTGGTATGTTCAACTTTGAGCTGTAAAAATTGTGCTTCATACATAATGTACACACATGACACAACTGACAAAATGTAAGAAAAAGGTATGATACGTCAGGGCTTTCCAACGTGATCCAGATGGACCCCCAGGGCATTTTATTATAGAATTGAAATCATAAATTTATTTTAAGAAAACTTTTTGTTTTGGGCATCAGTACTAGGAAACCAGCGGGCAGCTGGTTGACAAAACTGGCCCAATCTATGCGAGTTTTCCTAGGGCTCTGAATTAAAAAGGGAAATAATTAAATAAACCTATCATGGCTACATTAATTTAAGTGCTTTCATTATAGAATATATAAAATTGGAATCGAAATGAAAATGCAAACTTAGTACCAGGACAAAATGAAACGCTCAAACTCGACAAGCAAGACCCACAGGCATACTATGCTGGCAGTCCAAAACTGTTTATGGCAATAATACTGAGTAAAATAATACTGAGTAAAATTGAATAGTTTTGCTAAGACAACAAGTGATTTAACTTGGATATCTCTAATAAACACTTGGGGGGTCCATACGACTTAGACTATGGCGTAGTTTCTGTTAACGAAGATTTTCCTAACTAAACAGTTCCTGTTAATCGCCCTTCACTAGTAATTTTTGATGATTGATACTTTTTATGCGAGAATTTGCTTAATGCAATGTCAGGTAAGACAAATCAGAAGAAGGATTCACACGCATTGACGTGTCTAGAGGAATACCAGGGGAGCATATAATTATTTATCTTCCCAAAATTAATTTGAAGTTAGGTATAAGGGGCAGCATTATCGGAAACTCGGCCATGGCTGCAGAAAAGTTTGACACTCCACTGCTCACACGTCACACCAAATAAAAGCGTCACGCGACCACAGAATTTACCTGTTGAACGTATCTCGGTTTCTTGGAATTCCTTTCAATATCAGAGTTCTGCCTTCCACACTGTTTTTTGGAACTGCCAAAAGATCTCCTCTTGATTGAACTAAAGAATTGGATTCATAAAAATGAACATAACACTTACCGAACGTGTACGACAATGCAATGCTTTTTGTTTTGATTCTGAGTGCGATAGTGAGGCTTTCAAAAAAGTCATATTTTTATATTGGATACAAATTTTTATAAAAAGTCAATTATTGTCTTAAGTATATGGCGCCTTGTTAGATTACCGGTACAAGCCCGGCTCGGGAATCACCAATTAATTAGCTTGTTTCCGCAGATACAGACGGGGTTTGTTAGCAGTCAAAAAAAAAATTCATCTTGGATGTGTACAATTAAAAATACAAATGAGCAAAGCAACGATCAAATATATATATATATGGACATGGAAGTTAATCAATAACTTATCGCAGTACCTCACATAAGCGATTCACACGGAAATGTGTACTCAATTCGCAAAATCAAGAGTATCCGGGCGGAAGGCGTAACGCATGGCGAAATAACGGACAATGTTCACATGACTTAAAATGAAACAGTGAAAATTTGGGTGAAATAACGGATCTCATAGAACTCCCAGGACATTTAAAAAAGATAAAAGTAATAGCCTTCTGAAAACTACTCCCATTTTCAAATTGAAACTATTAAATCGCTTGGTCCTCTAGTTACGGAGAAAGTATTTATTTGAGCACCAACAATTTCGTCCGAACAGCAACAACAATGATTCAACAATAAGATACATATTGCCACGTCCTGCGCAATACTCGTTTGAAAGCAAAAATCTTACCCCTGGGTTTACAATAGGCGGCACATATGAGCAGTTCGCAAGTATCATGATGGTTTTATCTTCTACTGTTCTCGGATAGATTGGAACTCTTTCAAATCGTTTATTCGCTGTTTCTCTGTCAATATACTCGGCACAACTTTTGGGAAATGAGAAGTATAGTTCTGCAAAAATTAAAACAAGGCTATGAAATAAAGAAATATATATATATATATCTTTATGAACCTAATTGAGAAGACCAGAAACTTTCAATCGCAACAACAGTTTCTAATACAGCCTTTCTTTAAAGATACCATGTTTCTACTGTAAAAAGATAAGATAAGATCTCCGAATAACAGGATAATCTGGAGGTATGTAAAGCATACAAAAATATAAATTTATTTCACAAACATAAATTGGCGCTCCAGAAGTGTGGGTATTAATATGGAGGTGACTAATTCCGTTTTCATTATTTCATGAAGTTGTGTAAAGGGACTGAAAACATATGGGCAGGGGTTATATTCACTTGGTTAACAGTAAAATAAAAAATATTCGTTTTAAAAAAATAAAAATGAAGTGAAACGTGTTATTAATATTTGCTAAATTTAAAAAAAAATGCACCATAATGAACCGACTTGCCCTTCTCGTCCATAGAAATGTTTTCCCCGAAATTTGACTTCTTTGTTCACTGCCATAACATTCGCAAATCAGCAATATGTCAGCGGCGACGTAAAATTTTTATCAGCCGCTCAAACACTTTTTTCACTGATGCAGATTTTCAGGCCCCGTGCTGAACATTAGCTAGTTTTTGTGGTTTTGTTATTCATTTCGTCTTCCGGGGAGTTTCAGTTTGATTAGAGTAATCAAAAATAATAAGTCCTGCTGAGACGGACTAGGTTGCAAATAGGTATATTTTGAATCGAAATGATGGTCGCAAAACATGTGAAAGCAATCTGTAAGCGACAAGTTGCGAAACTATCTTCAACGCAAATTAGTGAAAGTGAAGTATATGGGAAAAAAATTCTGGGACTAAGGGTTGGCTCTATTTTATGCCAAGTATATATATTACAGTTTATCCAAGAATATGACATCATCGCATCTGCATTACCTCTTCAGGAACAAGTTCTTACTCCTCGATTGCAATATCACAAACCCTGAAAGCGCTCAGGAAAAATATTCTTAGTTTTGTTGCCGTTATAAATATTCACCCACGTGCATGAAGAGAATTTGTCATTTTGCCTGAAGTGAACGCTTTTTTTAACACTGTCAAATATGTCGGATCGGATATATCATTTTAAATATAGAAACTTATCTCATTTCTTGGTGAAGATTGTGAAAAACTACTTGAACTAATGTAGGCGTTGAGCATAAAACCAGACCGCACACACCATGGATTGTACACCATGGACCGCATACACAATAGATTATTTTCTACAAAAAATAAGTAAAATAGTCAATTCAAATATATAAACTGGTAAAAGAAGTACGTAAGCGTCAAGTCGCGAAACTACCTTCAATGCAATTTTGCATTAGTAAAGCAAGGAAAGTTATAGTTTCCTGGGGTCAAGGGTCGGAGAACCAAACGTTAAGACAAGTACTGTATA